TCCATCCTGCTCTAACTAGTTCAACACAGTATACCACAGCAGGCAATGATGTACAGACCAGCCTGGTAGCAAAAGAAGAGGCCAACCATGCAAACGATGGACAGAGGATATTATAGTCCATGGGAATCCCAGTTTATGTAGCCCACAAACGGGCTCCTTCCCATAAATTATACTTCATCTCGACATCGCAAGGTACCAGAGGATCACGCTTGCTTGCACGCGCACACACATAAAGAAAGAAATGCTTTCATGTTTAGAAGCTTTTTTGACTTGTCTTTCAATTCATAAAAAGAAATTTTAAAAAATGTTTTAATATTGTACATCAGTCTCAAAACATTATCAGCTCTGATCACTTAGAAATATTAATTAACCAACCAGAAAACTAATCCCAGTACAAAACTGCTTTTGAGAAATAAGAAACAAATATTCATGGAAGTTCATCTAAAAAATTGCAGAATTCTGAGAACAAAGATTACCAGAAGCATGTTTTGAACAAAACAATTCATATAAAACTGTCCAAGTGCATTAAGTAAAAGAGGCAACCAGATAATGCTCTCTAAATATTAAATTAATGGAATGGTTTTAATTGGCACATAAAAAATTCTGCAAAATATTTTTTAACAATGTTTACAAGTTTTTTTAAAGTGACTATACAGAAGACAATGTTAAGTTGATAGTTTATGTTGAAAGAATTTACAGAAGAAAATTTAAATAGTCTATGCAGAGTGAATAGACAATGTTAACAGTTTAGGCTGAGTGAATTTACAGAAGATAATATTAACAGTTTAGGCTGAGTTATTATACAATGTTAACAGTTTATGCTGAGTGGGGGGAAAAAACAATGTTAACAGTTTATGCTGAGTGAATTTACAGAAGATAATGTGAATAGTCCATGCACAGTGAATATACAGAAGAGAATATCAAGTTAATGCATGAGCTTTCGGCCTCTGAGCCAATGCCATCTAGTGGCATTTACATGTTTTCCCTATAATAGGGCTCCCGAACTCACATGGGGAGCTGTGTTGTTGGTTCTAAATTCAACATTCAACATTCTGTACAAGGTGTTCCATTTGTCTGGTCTCGAAGAGAGATAATAATATAATGTTAAAAGTTTATGTTGAGAATGAAATATACAGAATACAATGTTGAGTGAATGTACAGAATATAATGTTGCAAATTCCCTGTGAGGGTTCCCCGGCCCCCAAGTGGGGAATAGACCCATTGCCTCCCCAACAAGCATGTCGGAGGAGTCAACTAACTGGGAGCATCCATCAAGGTGGGAGTACATCTGCCTGTGATGCCAGGAACCAACAGTCTGTATTCAAAAAAACAAGATCTGTAAAACAGATTCACATGCAAAACTCAAGTCCTGGAACAAAGCCAAAGTCCAGAAATGGATTAACAACCAGGTCTTTCCGCTAGTCTCCACAGCCGGTGAATGCGAACAACAAAATCACAAATTTTTGTGTAAGGAATAAACAGAGGACAATGCTGAGTTAACAGCTTATTTTGACTGAATATATAGAGGACAATGTAAGGAGAATGCATTTTATATAGAGTAAATATGCAGAAAACAATGTTAACATTTAGGCTGCGTGAATAAATGTACACAAGGCATTGTTAAAAACTACTTAAAAAACCAGCCTAAAAATTACAAAATTATTAATACTGCAAAGATTAACAATCCTCTCAATTAGCACTGAGAGATTATATGTTAACACAGGAATCATGACAGTGTAATGGCTAGTGAACTGGCTTATAAACACAGTGGTCTAGGCTCAAACTCTTAACAGTGTTGAAGACGTATGGCCAGTACAGCTTTGGGGTTGAGTAAACCCAGAGAATGGAGAGATTATATGTTAACATAGGAATCATGACAGTGAAATGGCTAGTGAACTGGCTTATAAACACAGTGGTCTAGGCTCAAACTCTTAACAGTGTTGAAGATGTATGGCCAGTGCAACTTTGGGGTTAAGCAAATCCAGAGAGTGGATGTCAGGGATGTTACAGGTCAAGCAAACCCAGAGAGTGGATGTCAGGGATGTTACAGCTTAAGCAAACCCAGAGAGTGGATGTCAGGGATGTTACAGGTTAAGCAAACCCAGAGAGTGGATGTCAGGGATGTTACAGGTCAAGCAAACCCAGAGAGTGGATGTCAGGGATGTTACAGGTCAAGCAAACCCAGAGAGTGGATGTCAGGGATGTTACAGGTTAAGCAAACCCAGAGAGTGGATGTCAGGGATGTTACAGGTTAAGCAAACCCAGAGAGTGGATGTCAGGGATGTGACAGGTCAAGCAAATCCAGAGAGTGGATGTCAGGGATGTTACAGGTCAAGCAAACCCAGAGAGTGGATGTCAGGGATGTGACAGGTCAAGCAAATCCAGAGAGTGGATGTCAGGGATGTTACAGGTTAAGCAAATCCAGAGAGTGGATGTCAGGGATGTTACAGGTTAAGCAAATCCAGAGAGTGGATGTCAGGGATGTTACAGGTCAAGCAAACCCAGAGAGTGGATGTCAGGGATGTTACAGGTTAAGCAAATCCAGAGAGTGGATGTCAGGGATGTTACAGCTTAAGCAAATCCAGAGAGTGGATGTCAGGGATGTTACAGGTTAAACAAATCCAGAGAGTGGATGTCAGGGATGTTACAGGTCAAGTAAATCCAGAGAGTGGATGTCAGGGATGTTACAGGTTAAGCAAATCCAGAGAGTGGATGTCAGGGATGTTACAGCTTAAGCAAATCCAGAGAGTGGATGTCAGGGATGTTACAGGTCAAGCAAATCCAGAGAGTGGATGTCAGGGATGTTACAGGTCAAGCAAACCCAGAGAGTGGATGTCAGGGATGTGACAGGTCAAGCAAATCCAGAGAGTGGATGTCAGGGATGTGACAGGTCAAGTATAGCCAGTTTTGATGATCAATAATCACTCAAGTGCTGCTGCTTCTCCTTTTCTGACTGCATTTCTTGACCTTATTCTAAATCTTTTACCTTTTCATCAGCTACTTCTTCTTCAGCTTCTTGTTCTTCTGTTAATGGTTGTTGTTTTTTTCTTTCTCTTTTTCTTCATCTTCCTTTTCTTCTTCTTCTTCTGTGTTGGTTTTTTCTTCATCTTCTAAAATAAACATCTAAGTGGTATCTTTGTACTTGAATTATTAGGAAAGTGGCTCCCTGTGTGGGTTCTGGGGCCCCATTTTGTGGGATAACAGAAAAAACCCACTACCCCATAACCAGCATGACAAATGAGGCAAATAATTCCTTCAAAGTGTGAGTGCATCTGCCTGGAAGGCAAAGAACAAACGTCTGCCTTCAAAGTCAGAGCGCATCTGCCTGAAAGGCAAAGAACAAATGTCTGCCTTCAAAGTCAGAGCACATCTGCCTGAAAGGCAAAGAACAAATGTCTGCCTTCAAAGTCAGAGTGCATCTGCCTGAAAGGCAAAGAACAAACGTCTGCCTTCAAAGTCGGAGTGAATTTGCCTAAGAGGCAAAGAACAAACGTCTGCCTTCAAAGTTGGAGTGCATTTGCCTAAGAGGCAAAGAACAAACGTCTGCCTTCAAAGTCAGAGTGCATCTGCCTGAAAGGCAAAGAACAAACGTCTGCCTTCAAAGTGGGAGTGCATTTGCCTAAGAGGCAAAGAACAAACGTCTGCCTTCAAAGTCGGAGTGAATTTGCCTAAGAGGCAAAGAACAAACGTCTGCCTTCAAAGTGGGAGTGCATTTGCCTAAGAGGCAAAGAACAAACGTCTGCCTTCAAAGTCAGAGTGCATCTGCCTGAAAGGCAAAGAACAAACGTCTGCCTTCAAAGTCAAAGTGCATTTGCCTAAGAGGCAAGGAACAAACGTCTGCACACAAATTACCCAGATTTTTAAAACATGTGCTTGCAAAACTAAATTTTGGGAACAAGAAAGAGTAAAGTCCAGAAGTGGACGAACAACCAGAACTTTCCACCAAAGTTAACAGCCGGTGAAGACGACAAAGAAGAATAAGAAGCTACAGGAATTTGAAAAATCTACTCATGAAGTAGAAGTGTTCTCACAACACTTACAACCTGAGCAAAACATTAGTTTGCATTCTATAAAGCAGATCTACACCAGAACAGTTTTTTTTTTTTTAAATGTGCCATCCTCACAATGGAGGCTGGCTGTAATGTATCCACAGCACATATATCACAGCCTGGCTGTAAACCACAACAAACTAATCCGCTCCAACTTTTTTTTTTTTAAAGGGCAAGAGGAAGAGACGAGTCTCCATGGTTTTGGTGGCTGCAATGAGGGATATTTTCACCCAGGAATTTGAAAAATCAACTCATGAAGTAGAAGTGTTCTCACAACACTTACAACCTGAACAAAACATTAGTTTGCATTCTGTAAAGCAGATCTACACCAGAACAGTTTTTTTTTTTTTAAATGTGCCATCCTCACAATTGGGGCTGGCTGTAATGTATCCATAGCACATATATCACAGCCTGGCTGTAAACCACAACACACTAATCCGCTCCAACCTTTTTTTTTTAAAGGGCAAGAGGAAGAGACGAGTCACCATGGTTTTGGTGGCTAGATGCCGCCTGCGGACTGGAAGGTCGTGGGTTAGCGTCCTGATGGAGCTAGACTTTTTTTTTTATGACCTCGACCTCCAGGTTGACCCAGGTGCAGTCCTGGGAAGTAAAGGCGGCCGGCATGATGCTGACCACATCACCCATCAAGTGTCAATTGGTCTATAAAAATATAGGTCTAGCCCTATATGCCCAAAACACCTGAAGGCATGGAGAAGGGCCCTTTACCTTTTAAGAAGAAGAGAAAAAGTTAATAATTTGTATGTAAAAAGTTAACCAGGTTAACACACATTATTCCAATTATTTCAAAGAACCTTGTTATATAACAAGATGTACTGATCCAATCGGCACAAGAAATTCTCCCCCCAAGGTTAAATATGACTATGATGAGTTGACACACAAAAATAAAACAATTTAAAGTATTCACATCTATTAGGTTAACCTTAAACCTGATCACTTTCCAACCACTTTAAATGATGGAGTAGTATGGCAGTTTGCACCCGCACACAGTGAGAGGTCAGCCAATTCTTGGCTTAGCTGGGTAAGAATATCTGGCGAGGCAATCTTGGCAATATTCACCAGCTCATATGGGTCATTCTTCAAGTCATACACCTCCACAAAGTTCTGTGAATGAGAACGGATGTGGTCAACGTTTATTAGATCATTTATCTGAAGCCTTCTGTAAATTAGACATGATGTAGTCAACATTTATTACATCATTTATCTGGGACTTTCTGTAAATCAGAGAGGATGTGATCATCATTTATTATTTCGCTTTTCTGGAACCTTCTGTAAATCAGAGAGGATATAGTCAATATTTATTATTTCACTTATCTGCAGCCTTATGTAAATAAATCAGAGAGGATATAGTCAATATTTATTATTTCACTTATCTGCAGCCTTATGTAAATCAGAGAGGATATAGTCAATATTTATTATTTCACTTATCTGCAGCCTTATGTAAATCAGAGAGGATATAGTCGACATTTATTATGTAAATCAGACACAGTAAAAGTATGATACAATCTAACTTATCATCTACGAGACAGAAGAAAAACGTAGCATCATTTACTATGTCATTATTCCAACATACAAGGTTTTGTAAATACGTGCACACAATAAAGAGGAAGACACAGCACGCATGACAGTAGGTGATACAAGATAAGGGAGACAAGCATACACAAATTGTACACTCAATGCACTCAAAAGGCATAAACATAACATATGCAGAACAAAAAACAAGTGTAGACAAAGCTTCACAAATTGATACAAAATGTTATCAATAACAGGGTTGACTGCTGTCAAGCTCATAACAAAAACTACATCAGTGAAACAAATGACAAGAAAGTTGCCAGGGACCCTAATATAACCTAATTGTTGATATGGGGTTTCTGGGACTTATGCCTGGGGTGATGGTCAACCTAAATAGTGGCACTTTGCGTCACCGGGTGTTAATCGTCCATTGTGTGGTTCAGCTGGGGTTAAACGTCAGTTACTGACAGTTCTGGCAATTTTAACGTAACTGGATTTTTCAGGCTCGTTATTCGTCACCGTACAATAAGCCAAAGACACGTGAAAAACTACTTTAAACAGGTCAAAATGAAGTATTACTTTTCATGCAATTACGTGATTTTTCAGAGAGGTCTTCCTGTTGAGACACAATTTTCTCAAAACAAAGATTTAGCATTCATATGATTTAGGTACAGTGTCAACGATTTAGCCACAAAACTAATACAACAATGCAAAACATACACTGGCATGTGTTTTAATTAATTCAATGCTCAAAAAGCAAAACAAGCAAATAAAATGAAGACAAATAGAACAGGCAACAGAGAAATGGCACATTATAACATACACTCATACAACTGTTTCTGACACTGTCATGAACAGTTAGTCTCAGAAGTCAGACTGTTTTGAAACTTCCTCTTCTATTCACACACTTGCGTGACCGGCAGGCATGCGTTACTTTACTGGCCCTTCCTTCGTCGATGAATTTCTATAGGTTTCGTTCCTTCACTGATTAAAAAAAGGGAAAAAAAAACAGATAACAGAAAACTGTTCCTCTCTGCTGCATGTCAAAAGTTGGGACTGCCATGTTTAAACTGTCATTATGATGTCGTTGTGATCTTCTGCACCAACGATGTCCCATGCTTAACACTCTTGATATCCTTATCAACACTACTGATAGGCTAAAAGACAATGTCATGGTTATTGTAATGTCTATGACACTTTTAAGCTTTTCTTTGAAGCCCTCTAGTATAACATGGTGTAGTAGGAAAACCACACAGAGAATAACAACAGGCAGCTGGGAAGGGGCAGGGAGAAAATGGCAGAGACAGACAGAGATGTGTATTTATGCATGCTCTCTCTAGAGCGAGGCATGAATAAATACACGTCTCTCTGTCTTTCCGTCTCTCTCTCTCACACGCATACACACTCGTTAACAAAATACACTGAAAGAAGATAAATTCATACTGTATATACAAGTATTAACGATCCCTGAACATACCTCTTGAGTGAAAAGTTTTTAAAAAAAATCAAAATGACTAACTACACAAATGACATTTAAATGTTACACAAACACTAACAAGTCTTACATCATTATCTTGCAAGGCACAGTATTTGTAGCTCTCCTGGGCTGTCTGGGTGCGAATACAGGCAAACGTGTTATTCCAGGCATCCTCGCAAACACAGTGCTTACCACAGTTCTGGGAAATATGAAGGAATACATGGAAACATTGTGGCACAGTAGTTAGTGGGTTTGCCTGCCAAGACAGTGGGTCTCCTGAGTGGGTCCCTCTGTGTGTGTGGGTGTGTGTGTGTGTGTGTGGGGGGGGGGGGGCGCACACATGCGTGCGCATGCGTGCGTGGTGTGTGTGTGTGTTTTGGAACAAAACCCAAAAAAAGAATAGACACAAACAAGGATGTAATAAATGACAACTAACTAAGGATCTGCTGAAATCAAAAGTTAGGTCTAAAAATACATAAGGAAAAGACAAAGATAACGAAAATAAATCAGGCAAATAGTAATGTGGTTTCTCTAAAAGGTACCCAGCTGCAATATGTGCAGTCGCACACCTATTTGGGCAGTAATATAGATAAAGATAGGGGAACTAATAAAGATATAAAACACGAATACAAAAGGCAAGACAAGTTTTAATTCATTCATTCATTCAGTAGCATGTCCCTCGCGGAACCTCGCTGCCATAACAACCCTCCGGAAAACCTTCCTATCCTGAGCAAGATGTCCTGCGTCTGATACACACATCTGGAGATCATCTGCCACATCCTGCACCCATCTTCTCCTTGGCCTTCCTCTTCCTCTCTTCCCAGGCATATACCCCTCCATTATTGTTCTCTCTAGACTTCCATGACGTTTCAAGTGACCAAAATATTTCAATTTTCTTTGTTTTATTGTCTTTACTAGCCAACCCTCTTCAATATTCAGCTCTTGGATCTTAGGAAATTTGTGGTCAACAGAAATTAAAACTAATACTAAACCTAAAATGTTGTGTTCCAATTGTTGTCCGGATTTAGTACTGTTGTATGGAGTGGAAATTTTGTTGTTGTCCGGATTTAGTACTGTTGTATGGAGTGGAAATTCTTGTCCGGATTTAGTACTGTTGTATGGAGTGGAAATTCTTGTCCGGATTTAGTACTGTTGTATGGAGTGGAAATATGGAAAACAACTAAGGCCATAACTAATAAATGACAAGCATCCATTAACTGGTGACTGGGAAGAACAGAGGGAATTAAATGGTATGATCTAATCCAAAACGTAGAGTTTTGGAAGAGAACTAAACAAGTTACAGTGGACCGAGAAGTAAGAAAAGACACTGGCATTGGATAGGACACACAGTGAAAAAACGTGAGAAAAATTTAACTAGAATGTCTTTGCACTGGAACCCACAGGAACATAAAAATAAAGGAAGACCAAGATTAACACATGGAAAAGAGAGCCAGAGAGTAAAGGTAAAAAGATAATGAGACCATGGGGAGAGCTGCATGCGATAGCGAAGGATAGAATGACTTGGCGTGAATTGGTTGAGGGCCTATGCTCCATTGGGGGTTAGAAAGGCAGAAGGTGAAGAAGAACATCACCATATTACACCACAAATATATAAAGATATGTAAACAGGTAATCAATTAATATGAAGTGGGTGACGCACTAAATAAAATACATTACTCGGAACCTTAAAACAAAAAAGGAAAAATATATGTATATATAAGGTGACTCATGCCGTGGCATCGTGACCTCCATCAGTGAGGCTTACATGAAAATACGACTTTTAAAAAGCCACTGGGGTCATGAGGAACCCCCCCCCCCCCCCCCCCCCCCCCCCCCCCCTTTTTTTCCTATGCTATTTTTGGTTGCTAGATTTATATCCTGGCCCGTTAATGAACAGGCGCACACAGAACCAACAGAATTTAGCTATGCTTTCAGAGAACAGGTCACTGCAGACATGGTGATATGACAGCATTTACGGGACCGCGCCACAACCGGAAGTGACAACATTTTGTCTTCTTAGGATAAGAGGGTTAAACCCACATTTAACATTTGCTATTTTGTTTTTCCTTCAGTCTGACAAATCTCCCAACTGGTTTTACATTAGGCAAATATAAAGCAGCTGTCATTTTCTACTCACGGCCATCCCTTGGTTCAAATACTGAGGACAGCCTGGGATGACATTCAGATGCTCTCCGTGATACTCCACCAGCACTTTATCCCGGAAGGAATGTGCCTGGTTGGTGAAGATGGGTGTCAAGCTCAAGCCATCGAAAGAAGCAGGTGCGTGCAGGCCCGCCAGATCCAAAAATGTGGGGGCCAGATCTATGCTCATGACACTCTCCTGGGGAAATCATTAAAACACATTTAGTAATTAAAGTAGGACATTTTACATGCAAACTGGGCAGATGTTGTTTGACTCATGTTTATATAGACCAGTCAGCACTGGCATCATAAGGGCTAACAGACTGAAATGGCTGGTGCATATTAAATGTCAGTTCTTCTTCTTCCTCCTCCTCCTCCCTCTTCTTTCTTCTTCCTCCTTCTTTTTCCCCCCTTCTTCTTCTTCTTCCTTCTTCTTCCTCCTTCTTCTTCCTCCTTTTTCTTCCATCTTCTTCTTCCTCTTTCTTCTTCTTCTTCGGCAATCTCTGGTCATGCACTAAATCCACTGGTGGCCTTAAACTAGGATGTCATATCAAGGTCTCTTAGGTTTCTCCAAAGCTTAGTTGTCAGTTTGACTGGATGTGACTACATGTTGCTTCTCAGCTCTGCCAAGAGAGGACAGTCTTGCAAGACATGATCTGGAGTCTGTTCAGTATGAAGACAGTAACTGACAGAGAGCTGTTTGGCTCATATCTAGTGTATATTAGTGTTTGTTGAGTCTGCAGTGTCCAGTGCACAAGCAGAAATAATGTTAGAAGACAGAGAGGTTAAAAACTGTGTACACAAGAACCATGAGAAAGACCAAGAAGATGGTGCAGAGATAATATACAGACAGACCTGCAACAATTAAAATCACCAAATGGAAATACAGGACTAAACAAAGATGAATGAAGGCAGGTGATAACTGCAGCATGAACCTAGAACCTATAGGGCTTGAACTGCTGAAGAATAAGAAAAAGAAAAGTCATCACTCAACATGTGCTGTAGTCAACATCATGCAACATGTAATGTGGTCAACATCATGCCTGCTGAGAATATCACTCAACATGTGATGTGGTCAACATCATGCCTGCTGAGCACATCACTCAACATGTGATGTGGTCAACATTGTGCCTGCTGAGCACATCCCTCAACATGTATTGTAGTCAACACCATGCCTGCTGAGCACATCACTCAACATGTGATGTGGTCAACATCATGCCTGTTGAGCACATCACTCAACATGTGATGTGGTCAACATCATGCCTGTTGAGCACACCACTCAACATGTGATGTGGTCAACATTGTGCCTGCTGAGCACATCCCTCAACATGTGATGTAGTCAACATCATGCCTGCTGAGCACATCACTCAACATGTGATGTGGTCAACATTGTGCCTGCTGAGCACATCCCTCAACATGTATTGTAGTCAACACCATGCCTGCTGAGCACATCACTCAACATGTGATGTGGTCAACATCATGCCTGTTGAGCACATCACTCAACATGTGATGTGGTCAACATCATGCCTGTTGAGCACACCACTCAACATGTGATGTGGTCAACATTGTGCCTGCTGAGCACATCCCTCAACATGTGATGTAGTCAACACCATGCCTGCTGAGCACATCACTCAACATGTGATGTGGTCAACATCATGCCTGCTGAGCACATCACTCAACATGTGATGTGTTCAACATCATGCCTGCTAAGCACATCACTCAACATGTGATGTGGTCAACATCATGCCTGTTGAGCACACCACTCAACATGTGATGTGGTCAACATTGTGCCTGCTGAGCACATCCCTCAACATGTGATGTAGTCAACACCATGCCTGCTGAGCACATCACTCAACATGTGATGTAGTCAACATCATGCCTGCTGAGCACATCACTCAAAATAGGATGTGGTCAACAGCATGCCTGCTGAGCACATCACTCAACATGGGATGTGGTCAACAGCGTGCCTGCTGAGCACATCACTCAACATGTGATGTGGTCAACATTGTGCCTGCTGAGCACATCACTCAACATGTGATGTGGTCAACATCGTGCCTGCTGAGCACATCACTCAACATGTGATGTGGTCAACAGCATACCTGCTGAGCACATCACTCAATGTGTGATGTGGTCAACATTGTGCCTGCTGAGAATATCACTCAACATGTGATGTGGTCAACAATGTGCCTGCTGAGCACATCACTCAACATGTGATGTGGTCAACATCGTGCCTACTGAGCACATCACTCAACATGTGATGTGGTCAACAGCATACCTGCTGAGCACATCACTCAATGTGTGATGTGGTCAACATTGTGCCTGCTGAGAATATCACTCAACATGTGATGTGGTCAACATCATGCCTGCTGAGCACATCACTCAACATGTGATGTAGTCAACACCATGCTTGCTGAGCACATCACTCAACATGTGATGTAGTCAACATCATGCCTGCTGAGCACATCACTCAAAATAGGATGTGGTCAACAGCATGCCTGCTGAGCACATCACTCAACATGGGATGTGGTCAACAGCGTGCCTGCTGAGCACATCACTCAACATGTGATGTGGTCAACATTGTGCCTGCTGAGCACATCACTCAACATGTGATGTGGTCAACATCGTGCCTACTGAGCACATCACTCAACATGTGATGTGGTCAACAGCATACCTGCTGAGCACATCACTCAATGTGTGATGTGGTCAACATTGTGCCTGCTGAGAATATCACTCAACATGTGATGTGGTCAACATTGTGCCTGCTGAGCACATCACTCAACATGTGATGTGGTCAACATTGTGCCTGCTGAGCACATCACTCAACATGTGATGTGGTCAACATTGTGCCTGCTGAGCACATCACTCAACATGGGATGTGGTCAACAGCGTGCCTGCTGAGCATATCACTCAACATGTGATGTGGTCAACATTGTGCCTGCTGAGAATATCACTCAACATGTGATGTGGTCAACATCATGCCTGTTGAGCACATCACTCAACATGTGATGTGGTCAACATCATGCCTGTTGAGCACATCACTCAACATGTGATGTGGTCAACATCATGCCTGTTGAGCACACCACTCAACATGTGATGTGGTCAACATTGTGCCTGCTGAGCACATCCCTCAACATGTGATGTAGTCAACACCATGCCTGCTGAGCACATCACTCAACATGTGATGTGGTCAACATCATGCCTGCTGAGCACATCACTCAACATGTGATGTGTTCAACATCATGCCTGCTGAGCACATCACTCAACATGTGATGTGGTCAACATAATGCCTGTTGAGCACACCACTCAACATGTGATGTGGTCAACATTGTGCCTGCTGAGCACATCCCTCAACATGTGATGTAGTCAACACCATGCTTGCTGAGCACATCACTCAACATGTGATGTAGTCAACATCATGCCTGCTGAGCACATCACTCAAAATAGGATGTGGTCAACAGCATGCCTGCTGAGCACATCACTCAACATGGGATGTGGTCAACAGCGTGCCTGCTGAGCACATCACTCAACATGTGATGTGGTCAACATTGTGCCTGCTGAGCACATCACTCAACATGTGATGTGGTCAACATCGTGCCTACTGAGCACATCACTCAACATGTGATGTGGTCAACAGCATACCTGCTGAGCACATCACTCAATGTGTGATGTGGTCAACATTGTGCCTGCTGAGAATATCACTCAACATGTGATGTGGTCAACATCATGCCTGCTGAGCACATCACTCAACATGTGATGTGGTCAACATTGTGCCTGCTGAGCACATCACTCAACATGTGATGTGGTCAACATTGTGCCTGCTGAGCACATCACTCAACATGTGATGTGGTCAACATTGTGCCTGCTGAGCACATCACTCAACATGGGATGTGGTCAACAGCGTGCCTGCTGAGCATATCACTCAACATGTGATGTGGTCAACATTGTGCCTGCTGAGCACATCACTCAACATGTGATGTGGTCAACATCATGCCTGCTGAGCACATCACTCAACATGTGATGTGGTCAACATTGTGCCTGCTGAGAATATCACTCAACATGTGATGTGGTCAACATCATGCCTGCTGAGCACATCACTCAACATGTGATGTAGTCAATATTTTGCCTGCTGAGCACATCACTCAACATGTGATGTAGTCAACATTGTGCCTGCTGAGCACATCACTCAACATGTGATGTGGTCAACATTGTGCCTGCTGAGAATATCACTCAACATGTGATGTAGTCAACATTGTGCCTGCTGAGCACATCACTCAACATGTGATGTGGTCAACATCATGCCTGCTGTCTTTAACTTCCAAGATATTTTCCTGAATGAATGTTGGGTTTGGACAACCAAAGAATATGCCAGCTAAAAAAAAATTTTTGATACAAAATGGCCAAAATAACAAGACAAAAGGATAAAAAAAAACTAAGGTACATGGTAAAACTGTATTTCACATTCTGAAACACCCACATCCACTATTCACTTGTGAATCAAACAGAAGAAAATCTCAGGAGCCCATTCTTCTTCTTCTACATTCATCCGAAGATGTAAATGTGTTGTGTCTGTTTATATCATGGCTGCAATATATGCATCTTTCGGCCAACATGTTCAACTTCTGCTGGCATCTGTTGCCAGAGTTAGCCTTCCCGGGTAGTTTTCTGGGACACAGCAGCCTCATTATTATGTGGTCATCTTTGTTTCCTAGTTCACAGGTGGCGTCATCTATCAGGCCGGTCCAGAGGAGCAGAAAATTCCTCGCCATCCAAGGATAATGACAAAAGTGGTGGTTGTAGTCTCATTTAAAAATGAGAATTGTCAAATGTTATGTATTCTCAACCTTACTGTATGGCACAGAGACATGGACAATGAACAAACAACTGGAAAATCGTATCAATTCTTTGGAGATGTGGATATTAGGTCATATTTCATAGAAACAAAAGCTATCAAATACAGAGGTACTGAGGAAATTGGGAATGAAAAGAGAGTTCCTAGGTGAAATAAAAAAGAGACAAGTGAAATATTTTGACCACATTTAAAGACATAACAGTATTGTAAAGATCATCCTAGAGGGAAAGGTTCAAGGTAGGCGAGCAAGAGGCAGACAGCGTTACAAGTGGGAGGATAACATCAAGAGATGGACAAACAGCAGTATGAGTGAGTGTACATCAAGGGCAAGAGACAGGGCTTGTTGGAGATCCATTGCAGCCAACCTTCATTGTGGAGACGGCACCTGATTGATTGATGTGGTTTATATGACAACGACGATGCATATGGTGGTGATGATGATGACTGCGGTGGTGATGACAATGGTGACAGTAGTGGTGGTGTCTTTACTAGGGTGATGATGATGTAGATGGTAATGATGTTTATGAAGATGATGATGATGATGATGTTGAGGCAAAAATGATTTACCTACCTCATTAGTGGAGTTGGGTTTGATACCTGGTCCCCTTACGTACAGCGGTACCCTGATATCAAAATCATACAGCTGCCTTTTATCAAAAGGTAATGAAAACTGACCTGAACAAAAAGAATGAATTATTAGTATCTTTATATGATATGTATGTCACTGAACAAAAATAAAATTCTTAGATGTCAACATCATCTTTAGGTATCAATATAATTCTCAGATGTCAACATTATCTTTAGGTATCAATATAATTCTCAGATGTCAACATCATCTTTAGGTATCAATATAATTCTCAGATGTCAACATCATCTTTAGGTATCAATATAATTCTCAGATGTCAACATCATCTTTAGGTATCAATATAATTCTCAGATGTCAACATCATCTTTAGGTATCAATATAATTCTCAGATGTCAACATCATCTTTAGGTATCAACATAATTCTCAGATGTCAACATCATCTTTAGGTATCAACATAATTCTCAGATGTCAACATTATCTTTAGGTATCAATGTCATTCTCAGATGTCAACATTATCTTTAGGTATCAATGTCATTCTCAGATGTCAACATCATCTTTAGGTATCAATGTCATTCTCAGATGATAATGTAATCCTCAGGTGTTATTATCATTGTCCTCATACATCAATTTGGTCCTCAGATATAAAAATTATCACACGACAACACTGTCCCCATATGTCAAATCATCCTCAGATGTCAACAAAAACCACTGCACTCGGGACATCTCAATATGTGCTCCTTCGTTAACAGCCAAGGAAAAGTTATCTTCTTGTTTTTGTTCTTCTTGTTCATTTTCATGCTCACTGGCTGTAATCCCAAATGGAAAGTCCTGGTTGTTCATCCAAATCTGGAATTTTGCAAGCCCAATCATTTTACATAGCTGACTTACATACAGACATGAAACAGTTAACATACCTAAATGATAGCCATTGTCCGAGGAATAGAAAATATAAGTGTTGTCAAGCTGCCCAGTGGCCTTCAGTGTATTGACCACATCATCGACCATGTCATCCACTGACAGGAGTGTCCGCCATCTTTTCGGAGAAAACAAAGTTTGATTTTGATCAGAATTATAAAATAAAAGATGGCTGAGTGGGTTACAATGGTTGTCGCATGCATTGTGGAGTCTGACTTCTAATTTTCTAGAAGACAAGGGATTTGTACGATGTGTGATTAAATTAAAACCATACCAACAGCTTTATTTCAAACATATGAAGAGTATATTAGCAAGTGTGGCATAATGAAACAAAATAACTGTTTGGGAGCAAGCATGCACATGGGGGTTTCAGCTGTAAAAAATTTAGACATGAATCATAATGATTAAGGAGATGGATATACCATAGGCAAAGAAGGTTTTTCAAAAGTTTGACTTAAACTGTTTTTGTCTTTTGGTGACTGATGAAGTTTTCACTGACTGCTTGCTGCTTTGCTGCCTGGTTAAAAGTATGATACCACAATTCATTGCCTTTAACTATTTGCAATTTAATTACATCATCGTCTGCTCTATAATGCAGCTTGTAGTTCAAATTACTTCATCCATGGCTTTTTTTTTAAAGCCAAATAGTAAGGTTGTGTGCACAGAACAAGAGACAATTTTAACTTTTTATTTACTGTGTATCTCTCGGGAAGTTAATATTTTTCTCATGCTGTTGAAAATATAGGCTACTTAAGAGTGGGTGTGAGTGTGTGTGTAAACTTCTTCTTTGCGTTCACCAGCCAAGCTGTAAAATCTGGCATAAAGTTCTGGTTATTAATCCACTTAAGGACTGCAGTCTTGTTATAGAACCTGAGTCTTGGATGTGCATCCGTTTTACAGATCTGACTCATTTGTATGCAGACTGCTGGTTCCTTGCCATTTAGGCAGATGCACTCTGACTTTGAAGGAAACTCCCAATAAGTTGACTCTTACGACATGCTTTTGTGTAGGCAGTGGGTCTATTCTTGTTTTCCCTAAAACAGGGCCCTGGAACCCACATAGGTAATAAGTTATATAATATGCAGATGAAATGGCAGAACTGGGTAAGGATGGAAAATGTTATTTACAAAATGGGGCAAAACTAGGATATAGTTGGGAGGTTTCTAAAAAAAAAAAACAGTGTGTCACAGTAAAATGTTAGCAGATCAAAAAGTCCTCTTCTTCTTTTCGCTCGTCCGAGTGACGTAAATGTGTTGTGTGTGTTTACAACAAAGCTGCGATATTTGCGTCTTTCAGTCAACACAGCAGACTTGATTGAGCATTTATTGACAGAGTTAACTTCCTGGACAGTTTCCTTGGACAGGGACATGTTGTGGCCTTATTTGTGTGATGTTCTCTTTGTCCCCTTATCTACAGGTGTTGCCCCTGAGACCCCGTCTAGGGCATCCGTGTGTAGACAAGACAGCCAGCCCTCAAGGGAAGGCAGGTGCTGATCATGGGCATTCCCTGCCAACCAAAGAGACTTCCATAAATGCAGAGCCGACTCATGATGCTCTGGTCCTGGGCTCACCAAAGAATTGTCCCATCCTGCACATGTCTGCCTAATCTCACATCCATCTGTTGAGTTTTTTAATCGTCAAGGGTTGCGCTCTCAGGAGATCAATAGGGGGCGGACCACAGGTCTGATTTTTCTATGGCTAGATACATTTATTTTAAGCATGTTGGACATCTTTAACATTTTTTTATCTGGAAACCTAGCAAGACAGTATGACAAAGCATGCATTCTGCATGGTTTCCCCTTTCAGATCCCGCACTCCGGTGAGTGAGCCAATGGTAACAGGCATATGAACCTTGCTTCCAAACAGTAGGCCTTTTTTCAGTCGGACCTCCGTGACTTTGTTTCTGTGCCATAGGACATGTATCAGGCGGATATTTATGCTAAATCCACACAATGACAGTGGCAGGTTGTTATGGTGTACAGCAATGCAATGACGACTTTGAGGGACAGCAAGGGAGGTACAGAGACAAGACTGTTACACGAGTTGTCACCCGCAAGAGATGTTGCTCGTCTAAGCTGTCAGCAAATCTCTTCTTTCAGGGCTGAACCTCAGCAGTACAGTAATTTTTTTGCACTCGACAGATGTTTTAACCGAGGGCTGTCATTTAGTAGTATTTTCGGCTAACGAAAATAAGCTTTGATAGATGTTTTCAAACATGCACTGGGGTGGGTTGATGTGAGCCAGACTGGACACTACATCTCTAGAGGTCACCATCTCCAAGATCCCCTGCCAACTTGGTTCAGGTCACAAAGGTGAGCCCTTATCTGTGGCGCATGATGGGATGTGCGGCAGGAGTTTTGCGTGAGGATCGCTAAAACCATCCAAGACCTGGCTGGCGCCCAAGGTGAGGTATAGAGTAACTCGTTATACACATCACAACAGCCTTAACTTTCCCTCACCTTTGATCACTATCACTGCACCACTCAAAAACATCTAAACTTGGATTCAAGAAAATGACCTGGGAAGTGAAAGGGGTCAGCAAGCTACTTACTCACACTGCACATTAAATCCCCAATGCCATATTTTTTTAAAAAATGCCAAATGCGCCTTAATTTCACAGAAGGCAACATGACCCAAAAAAAGTGAACACAATCTTCTCGACTTATAATTGAGCTCATAAGTGGAACTGGTCATGAGTGGTATTTATATTTCTCAAAACTATTTTCATCCAAACAGGTTATAAAATGTCTACATAAAACACATAATTAAAGCTACATATGTATATTTACTGTATTTCTCCGAACTTTTAGACCCTATCAATGCAGTTATCCTTCTTGAATTACTTTTTTTTAAATTTATTTTTATTTTATTTTTGTAAATTTTTTTAAAATTTATTTTTGTGGTTGTAAGAACACATTGTCTTAAGTCGCATAGGTCCTAAGTTGCATAGATCATAAGACCATTAGGTTTTAAGTCGAGGAGAAGGTGTATACACTTTACCTGTTTCTAAAATCATCATCTATCATGTTGATGGTATCTTGTGGCATTGGAGTGACAGCTTGATCTACCAACCAGTGCTTGTCCTGAAATACATGTTTTACAAATAACACACATGAAAAAATTGCTGCATTAAAGAAACAAGAAAGAAAAACTGATATATTTTCTTTCCAAAAACAAATAAAATATGTTTTGAAGAAAACAAATAACAAGTGCCTATAACAAGTGACTTCTTAAGTCCATTCTTGAAGAACAATCAAACACATAAGACAAATTCTACAAGCCCACCCGCTATACTTACACCTACTAAGATACATCTGGCATCAAAAGCAAAGTGTGCAAGCTATGGAGAAGCTGCGCCTTTCGACCGAAACATCCAACTTCAACAACCACCTGTTGACCGAGGACCTGGGCATTTTACATAGAATGACAAGAAGAAGAAGAGATACTATTTTGCAAACTTGCAATATATTACTTAAATTTTTTAAATACTTTTTTTAACTGTAAACGTGTCTGCTCTGCCTCATATGTATGTTAATGCAGTCCATAGAGGAAATGAAGAACTGTAACTTAAAATACCTGTCATCAGAGACAACTAAATAGGTGGCCATAATACTGGCTACATTATCACTTAGAATAGTTAAGATGCAAAATGCAGCCAATCATGAGCCAGCTAAAACAACGAATTATGAGCATGTTTACAACAAATGTTAGTGTCTGTGGCTTAGGCGTTGATAACGAGCTTCATAATGCAGGGTTCGATCTCAGCTGTGGGGATGGTTTGTCTTGCAATGCAATGGCAAATTATAAACGTAAAAATGCCTAAAAAGACTACAACAGTCAATATTTGGTTGGGTTGGTTTTGCAACGTCCTGTAAAGGATACGCAACTAACTTTTACAACAAATGGTTTGGTTTGAGTTTTTTTTTGTTTTTTTAGAAATTACGCTCCAGTGGGAGATGACATGTGGCAGAAGAATATTAAGAAGAAAATGAGAGCAGAAGATGAAAAGGAGAAAATGAGAAGAATGGGGAGGAGGAGCAAGACAGTGGAAAGGGGGGGGGGGTGGAGAAAAGATGAGGAAGAAAAGAGGACGAATTTGAAATTTATTATTTGAATTTTCTATTTGGTTAGATTATCTAAACAGTTTAAACTTTAAAAATATTATTCTCCATTATCTTTGCAGTACACAGCAATATATAAAACAAGCAATATGTGACCTTTCCATGGATGTTGAAGTGCTTTGTTCTGGGTGCTTGTTGGTTGGTGAAGTTCTTCTCATATTGTGGAGCTGGGGTAAATGGTGCATGGCAAGCGGGAGTTGAGAGCATCATGAAGAAGGGTCTTGTGGCATTTACTTGCTTCTGCAGATAATTTACTGCCTTTCGGTGCTGTGAACAAAATTTTTTTTTTAGAAAATTGATAAACTAATTATTGATAATACTGAAGTAATTATTGATAATACAGAAGTAATTATTGATAATACTGAAGTAATTATGAATAATACTGAAATAATTATGAATAACACTGAAGTAATTATGAATAAAACTGAAGTAATTATAAATAATACTGCTGGCACCTTTCTGTATTTTCTGTTGCTGGTGTTTGTTATACTGTGCTCTAGGGAGGCACAGAATCACAGTAAACGGTGGCGATGGCGAGTGTGACTAGCAAGACCTCCTCGCATTAACGCAAACCTCAAATACTCAGAGTAAAGGATTTCATGACTATTGCTGTCATCATATGTTTTCATTGTGTGCTTCTTCTCAGAAGCTCAGCTCTCATTCTTTTTTGCAATTACTTCTTCTTTACACCTTGTCCTTTCCTGAGTTTTCCCCTTTGTGCAACATGGTTGCTGGCATTTTGTTTCAGCAAATCTACCTCAATACATGTATCATTCATGTCTCACTTGCACACATCTTTCTCTATACTGTAGTAGATGCTGAGGTCAACATCTTCTACCCATCTGTTGTAATTCACAATACAGGATGTCCTTTTGGACTCTTCCATCCTTCATTCTCTTGAAGATAATACAAGCAAGAATTCAAAATAAAATAGAGAAAGAAATTTTGGAAGAGCAATTTGGATTCCGTAAAAACAGTGTTACTTGAGAGGCCATAATTTGTCTAAAGATGCTGACTGAAAAATATATAGAAGTTCAGAAAAATATTTATGCATGTTTTAAAGTTTACAAAAAAGCTTTCGACAGAGTGCAACATGAACAACTAATTGCAGCTCTTCAAAACATAGGACTAAATGGAAAGGATATCAGACTTATTAGAAACTTATACTGGTAGCAAGAAGCAACAGTAAGATATGACAACATCTGCTCACCCCAGATAGAGATCAAGAGAGGAGTAAGAAAAGGATGTGTGCTGTCGCCTAGCCTTTTCAACTTATGTACAGAAACTATTTTTAAAGAAATTGTAGAATTACCAGGACTGAACAACAGTGGTAGAATAATAAACAATCTGAGATTTGCTGACGACAACAGTGTTGCTAGCAGAGAGTGAGCAGGGGTTGCTAGTGGAGCAAGTAAACAGAAGGAGTGCAGAATTTGGATTAGACAAGTAATAACATGTGACGGCAGAAGTGAAACAGAAGTCAAGAAAAGAATAGGGATGGCCAAAAACATTTTCAACAACATGCAAAAGTTACTGACATGAAGAGAAATAAACAATACATTAAAAATGAGAATTGTCAAATGTTATGTATTCTCAACTTTACTGTATGGCACAGAGACATGGACAATGAACAAACAACTGGAAAATCGTATCAATTCTTTTGAGATGTGGATATACAGAAGATTAGGTCATATTTCATGGAAACAAAAGCTATCAAATACAGAGGTACTGAGGAAATTGGGAATGAAAAGAGAGTTGCTAGGTGAAATAAAAAAGAGACAAGTGAAATAGTTTGGTCACATTAAAAGACATAACAGTATTGTAAAGATCATCCTAGAGGGAAAGGTTCAAGGTAGGTGAGCAAGAGGCAGTCAGCATTACAAGTGGGAGGATAACATCAAGAGATGGACAAACAGCAGTATGAGTGAGTGGATAGCCTTCCCGAAGTCTTGCCAAATGCTAAGTATTTTTCTTTGGCATAACATAATTTAACTCAGACATTAAAAAAAACCACACAAAAAACAGCCCAGTAAATTAATAATGAAAGTCGGCATGGTGTAGAAACTAGATGCTCCGTGGATCAGGAGATTGTGGCTTCTTCTTCTTCACGTTCACTGGCTGTAAACTCTGGTGGAAAGCTCTGGCGCTTTGTCCACTTCTGGACTCTAATCCTGTTTCAGAACCTGACTGCTGCATGCACATCCGTTTTACAGATCTGACTCATTGGTGTGCAGACTGTTGCTTTCCTGCCTCTCAAGCAGATGCACTCAAACTTTCAAGGAACCTCCCAATTAGTCGACTTAAATGACATGCTTTTGGCTAGGCAATGGGTCTATTCTTGTCTTTCCCACACTGGGGCCTCAGAACCTATACGGGGAGGATGGCTCCTTGGCTCCCAGAGTGATCCAGCCTTAATGGATTAATGAGAGCTATCTGGTCTAGCCTCAAATGTCAGATGTGCCACTAGCATGTATAGGGCCTCATTGTAGTTAAACTGATATTTTTTTTTTTTTTTTTGGAAAATAAAATCAACCAATTTCTAAACTATTTCTGACCATAACAACCCAATGTAAATATTTACAAACAATATAAAAAATGATAACTCTCACAATAACATCGGTCAAGTAGTCTTGGGAATAATTCTGCCCATGCTTCTCCTCAACACCATTTGCTGACAGGGAGTAGTTGTAGTACACAGAGTTGCCAACCTGCCGGATACAAAATAGTGATACGTATTCTGTTACCTGCAGTAGTGTTTGGCAGACCTAGGTTTGAATGCTCGGTAAGGTTATGGATAGGGGGAAAAAAAAATCTAAACTTAACAATCCAAAGTGAAAGTGCCAGCCATGAGGCCTAAGACCACCCCAGCAATGGCAGTTTTTTGGGGGCAGTTTTTTGGGGGCAGTTTTCTGTTTTATTGTTTTATTTTAAGCAGTTTTGATACTGTTCTGTTGCAAGGCAATGTTTACCAAGAGGCAAGAGGATGGGTGGTTAATGCATTCGCTTACTGATACTGTGGTTCTGGGATCAATCCCCAGTGATGTCAGGACTGGACTTCTGCTCCACTTTAGTCTTCTTCTTCTTCTTTGAGTTCACGGCTGTCACCTCCAGCGGAAAGTTCTTGTTGTTCGTCCACTTCTGGACTTTGGTCTTGTTCCAGAACTTGAGCTTCATGTGCACATCCATTTTACAGATCTGGCTTTTTTGAATGCAGACTGCTGGTTCCTTGCCTCTCAGGCAGATGCACTATAAGTTCAAAGGTAACATCCCTTATTAGTCATTTTAAATCATGCTCGTTATAGGGCAATTGGTATATACTCCCCCCCCCCCCTTGCTTCCCCCCCCCCCCCCCCCCACCCGACAACGGGACACCCGAACCCACACAGGAAAAGTGTGGTCAATGGTAGTGAGTATCTGAAACTTTTGTCATCAAGTAGAATCTTGGCATGACAGACATCCGAACCTTAGCTCTCCACAAGTCAAGTAGGATCTTGGCATGACAGATATCTGAACCCTAGCTCTCCACAAGTCAAGTAGGATCTTGGCGTGACAGATATCTCAACCTTAGCTCTCCACAAGTCAAGTAGGATCTTGGCATGACAGACATCCGAACCTTAGCTCTCCACAAGTCAAGTAGGATCTTGGCATGACAGATATCTGAACCCTAGCTCTCCACAAGTCAAGTAGGATCTTGGCGTGACAGATATCTCAACCTTAGCTCTCCACAAGTCAAGTAGGATCTTGGCATGACAGACATCCGAACCTTAGCTCTCCACAAGTCAAGTAGGATCTTGGCATGACAGATATCTCAACCTTAGCTCTCCACAAGTCAAGTAGGATCTTGGCATGACAGACATCCGAACCTTAGCTCTCCACAAGTCAAGTAGGATCTTGGCATGACAGATATCTGAACCCTAGCTCTCCACAAGTCAAGTAGGATCTTGGCGTGACAGATATCTCAACCTTAGCTCTCCACAAGTCAAGTAGGATCTTGGCATGACAGACATCCGAACCTTAGCTCTCCACAAGTCAAGTAGGATCTTGGCGTGACAGATATCTCAACCTTAGCTCTCCACAAGTCAAGTAGGATCTTGGCATGACAGACATCCGAACCTTAGCTCTCCACAAGTCAAGTAGGATCTTGGCATGACAGATATCTGAACCCTAGCTCTCCACAAGTCAAGTAGGATCTTGGCGTGACAGATATCTCAACCTTAGCTCTCCACAAGTCAAGTAGGATCTTGGCATGACAGATATCTGAACCCTAGCTCTCCACAAGTCAAGTAGGATCTTGGCGTGACAGATATCTCAACCTTAGCTCTCCACAAGTCAAGTAGAATCTTGGCATGACAGACATCTGAACCTTAGCTCTCCACAAGTCAAGTAGAATCTTGATGCGACAGACACCTCAACCTTAGCTCTCCCCAAGTCAAGTAGAATCTTGGCATGACAGACATCCGAACCTTAGCTCTCCACAAGTCAAGTAGAATCTTGATGCGACAGACACCTCAACCTTAGCTCTCCCCAAGTCAAGTAGGATCTTGGCATGACAGACATCTGAACCTTAGCTCTCCACAAGTCAAGTAGGATCTTGGCATGACAGACATCTGAATCTTAGCTCTCCACAAGTCAAGTAGGATCTTGGCATGACAGACATCCGAACCTTAGCTCTCCACAAGTCAAGTAGGATCTTGGCATGACAGATATCTGAACCCTAGCTCTCCACAAGTCAAGTAGGATCTTGGCGTGACAGATATCTCAACCTTAGCTCTCCACAAGTCAAGTAGGATCTTGGCATGACATACACCTCAACCTTAGCTCTCCCCCAAGTCAAAAAGAAGCTTGGCATGACAGACATCTGAACCTTAGCTCTCCACAAGTCAAGTAGGATCTTGGCATGACATACACCTCAACCTTAGCTCTCCCCCAAGTCAAAAAGAATCTTGGAGCGACAGACATCTGAACCTTAGCTCTCCACAAGTCAAGTAGGATCTTGGCATGACAGACACCTCAACCTTAGCTCTCCCCAAGTCAAGTAGGATCTTGGCATGACAGACATCCGAACCTTAGCTCTCCCCAAGTCAAGTAGAATCTTGGTGCGACAGATATCTGAACCTTAGCTCTCCACATGTCAAGTAGGATCTTGGCATGACAGACATCTGAACCTTAGCTCTCCACAAGTCAAGTAGAATCTTGGTGCAACAGATATCTGAACCTTAGCTCTCCACATGTCAAGTTGAATCTTGGCACGACCGACATCTGAACCTTAGCTCTCCACAAGTCAAGTAGGATCTTGGCATGACAGACACCTCAACCTTAGCTCTCCCCAAGTCAAGTACAATCTTGGTGCGACAGACATCTGAACCTTAGCTCTCCACAAGTCAAGTAGGATCTTGGCATGACATACACCTCAACCTTAGCTCTCCACAAGTCAAGTAGAATCTTGGCGTGACAGACACCCTCAACCTTAGCTCTCCACATGTCAAGTAGGATCTTGGCATGACAGACATCTGAACCCTTAGCTCCCCACAAGTCAAGTAGGATCTTGGTATGACAGACACCTCAACCTTAGCTCTCCCCAAATCAAGTAGGATCTTGGCATGACATACACCTCAACCTTAGCTCTCCCCCAAGTCAAAAAGAATCTTGGCGCGACAGACATCTGAACCTTAGCTCTCCACAAGTCAAGTAGGATCTTGGCATGACATACACCTCAACCTTAGCTCTCCCCCAAGTCAAAAAGAATCTTGGCGCGACAGACATCTGAACCTTAGCTCTCCACAAGTCAAGTAGGATCTTGGCATGACAGACACCTCAACCTTAGCTCTCCCCAAGTCAAGTAGAATCTTGGTGCGACAGATATCTGAACCTTAGCTCTCCACATGTCAAGTAGGATCTTGGCATGACAGACATCTGAACCTTAGCTCCCCACAAGTCAAGTAGGATCTTGGCATGACAGACATCCGAACCTTAGCTCTCCACATGTCAAGTAGGATCTTGGCATGACAGACACCTCAACCTTAGCTCTCCCCAAGTCAAGTAGGATCTTGGCATGACATACACCTCAACCTTAGCTCTCCCCCAAGTCAAGTAGAATCTTCATGCGACAGATATCTGAACCTTAGCTCTCCACATGTCAAGTAGAATCTTGGCATGACAGACATCTGAACCTTAGCTCTCCACAAGTCAAGTAGAATCTTGGTGCGACAGATATCTGAACCTTAGCTCTCCACATGTCAAGTTGAATCTTGGCACGACCGACATCTGAACCTTAGCTCTCCACAAGTCAAGTAGGATCTTGGCATGACAGACACCTCAACCTTAGCTCTCCCCAAATCAAGTAGGATCTTGGCATGACATACATCTCAACCTTAGCTCTCCCCCAAGTCAAAAAGAATCTTGGCATGACAGACATCTGAACCTTAGCTCTCCACAAGTCAAGTAGGATCTTGGCATGACATACACCTCAACCTTAGCTCTCCCCCAAGTCAAAAAGAATCTTGGCGCGACAGACATCTGAACCTTAGCTCTCCACAAGTAGGATCTTGGCATGACAGACACCTCAACCTTAGCTCTCCCCAAGTCAAGTAGGATCTTGGCATGACAGACATCTGAACCTTAGCTCTCCCCAAGTCAAGTAGAATCTTGGTGTGACAGATATCTGAACCTTAGCTCTCCACATGTCAAGTAGAATCTTGGCATGACAGACATCTGAACCTTAGCTCTCCACAAGTCAAGTAGGATCTTGGCATAACAGACATCCGAACCTTAGCTCTCCACAAGTCAAGTAGAATCTTGGCATGACAGACATCTGAACCTTAGCTCTCCACAAGTCAAGTAGGATCTTGGCATGACAGACACCTCAACCTTAGCTCTCCACATGTCAAGTAGAATCTTGGCATGACAGACATCTGAACCTTAGCTCTCCACATGTCAAGTAGGATCTTGGCACGACAGACATCCGAACCTTAGCTCTCCGCAAGTCAAGTAGGATCTTGGCATGACAGACACCTCAACCTTAGCTCCCCACAAGTCAAGTAGGATCTTGGCGTGACAGACACCTCAACCTTAGCTCTCCGCAAGTCAAGTAGGATCTTGGCATGACAGACATCTGAACCTTAGCTCTCCACAAGTCAAGTAGAATCTTGGCGTGACAGATATCTGAACCTTAGCTCTCCACAAGTCAAGTAGAATCTTGGCGTGACAGACACCTCAACCTTAGCTCTCCGCAAGTCAAGTAGGATCTTGGCGTGACAGATATCTCAACCTTAGCTCTCCACAAGTCAAGTAGGATCTTGGCATGACATACACCTCAACCTTAGCTCTCCCCCAAGTCAAAAAGAAGCTTGGCATGACAGACATCTGAACCTTAGCTCTCCACAAGTCAAGTAGGATCTTGGCATGACATACACCTCAACCTTAGCTCTCCCCCAAGTCAAAAAGAATCTTGGAGCGACAGACATCTGAACCTTAGCTCTCCACAAGTCAAGTAGGATCTTGGCATGACAGACACCTCAACCTTAGCTCTCCCCAAGTCAAGTAGGATCTTGGCATGACAGACATCCGAACCTTAGCTCTCCCCAAGTCAAGTAGAATCTTGGTGCGACAGATATCTGAACCTTAGCTCTCCACATGTCAAGTAGGATCTTGGCATGACAGACATCTGAACCTTAGCTCTCCACAAGTCAAGTAGAATCTTGGTGCAACAGATATCTGAACCTTAGCTCTCCACATGTCAAGTTGAATCTTGGCACGACCGACATCTGAACCTTAGCTCTCCACAAGTCAAGTAGGATCTTGGCATGACAGACACCTCAACCTTAGCTCTCCCCAAGTCAAGTACAATCTTGGTGCGACAGACATCTGAACCTTAGCTCTCCACAAGTCAAGTAGGATCTTGGCATGACATACACCTCAACCTTAGCTCTCCACAAGTCAAGTAGAATCTTGGCGTGACAGACACCTCAACCTTAGCTCTCCACATGTCAAGTAGGATCTTGGCATGACAGACATCTGAACCTTAGCTCCCCACAAGTCAAGTAGGATCTTGGTATGACAGACACCTCAACCTTAGCTCTCCCCAAATCAAGTAGGATCTTGGCATGACATACACCTCAACCTTAGCTCTCCCCCAAGTCAAAAAGAATCTTGGCGCGACAGACATCTGAACCTTAGCTCTCCACAAGTCAAGTAGGATCTTGGCATGACATACACCTCAACCTTAGCTCTCCCCCAAGTCAAAAAGAATCTTGGCGCGACAGACATCTGAACCTTAGCTCTCCACAAGTCAAGTAGGATCTTGGCATGACAGACACCTCAACCTTAGCTCTCCCCAAGTCAAGTAGAATCTTGGTGCGACAGATATCTGAACCTTAGCTCTCCACATGTCAAGTAGGATCTTGGCATGACAGACATCTGAACCTTAGCTCCCCACAAGTCAAGTAGGATCTTGGCATGACAGACATCCGAACCTTAGCTCTCCACATGTCAAGTAGGATCTTGGCATGACAGACACCTCAACCTTAGCTCTCCCCAAGTCAAGTAGGAGAGATCTTGGCATGACATACACCTCAACCTTAGCTCTCCCCCAAGTCAAGTAGAATCTTCATGCGACAGATATCTGAACCTTAGCTCTCCACATGTCAAGTAGAATCTTGGCATGACAGACATCTGAACCTTAGCTCTCCACAAGTCAAGTAGAATCTTGGTGCGACAGATATCTGAACCTTAGCTCTCCACATGTCAAGTTGAATCTTGGCACGAAGTATAGAATCGACATCGACATGAAACCTTAGCTCTCCACAAGTCAAGTAGGATCTTGGCATGACAGACACCTCAACCTTAGCTCTCCCCAAATCAAGTAGGATCTTGGCATGACATACATCTCAACCTTAGCTCTCCCCCAAGTCAAAAAGAATCTTGGCATGACAGACATCTGAACCTTAGCTCTCCACAAGTCAAGTAGGATCTTGGCATGACATACACCTCAACCTTAGCTCTCCCCCAAGTCAAAAAGAATCTTGGCGCGACAGACATCTGAACCTTAGCTCTCCACAAGTAGGATCTTGGCATGACAGACACCTCAACCTTAGCTCTCCCCAAGTCAAGTAGGATCTTGGCATGACAGACATCTGAACCTTAGCTCTCCCCAAGTCAAGTAGAATCTTGGTGTGACAGATATCTGAACCTTAGCTCTCCACATGTCAAGTAGAATCTTGGCATGACAGACATCTGAACCTTAGCTCTCCACAAGTCAAGTAGGATCTTGGCATAACAGACATCCGAACCTTAGCTCTCCACAAGTCAAGTAGAATCTTGGCATGACAGACATCTGAACCTTAGCTCTCCACAAGTCAAGTAGGATCTTGGCATGACAGACACCTCAACCTTAGCTCTCCACATGTCAAGTAGAATCTTGGCATGACAGACATCTGAACCTTAGCTCTCCACATGTCAAGTAGGATCTTGGCACGACAGACATCCGAACCTTAGCTCTCCGCAAGTCAAGTAGGATCTTGGCATGACAGACACCTCAACCTTAGCTCCCCACAAGTCAAGTAGGATCTTGGCGTGACAGACACCTCAACCTTAGCTCTCCGCAAGTCAAGTAGGATCTTGGCATGACAGACATCTGAACCTTAGCTCTCCACAAGTCAAGTAGAATCTTGGCGTGACAGATATCTGAACCTTAGCTCTCCACAAGTCAAGTAGAATCTTGGCGTGACAGACACCTCAACCTTAGCTCTCCGCAAGTCAAGTAGGACACTGGTTGGATAGACTTTGAACCTTAGTTGTCATTTAGCAGGATTCTGGACTGACATGTTTGAACCAAAGTCTGTCCTTAAAAAATTTGGCTGGTGGACTTCTCATTATCCAAGTGAGTTGTTGACAGGCATGGTCACCTATGCTGATAGGTTTATTAGGGAAGAGATAAAAGCTGCTATGAACAATGATAATGAACTGAACTGTACAGTACTTACCAGCCCATTCCAAACATCCCATCCAGGAGGGATATGTCTTACACCTCCATTCTGATGAAATCCATACTGTGAACAAGAAAGTTTACTGACTTTCGTGAAATAGGCTTGATTATTTGGTATAGGGCACATACATGTCTTACAGGTAGAGTGGCAACAGTCAAGGGCTTCTCTTCATTCTTCAGCATTCCAAGCCCTTGAATTTATCTGCTGTAGATAGCATCCACCCCTCCCCATGTGGGATCTGTGGCCCCATTGTGGGGGAAACCAGAACAGAAGCATTACCACCCCAACAAGCATGTAGTAAGAGTCGACTAATTGGGGGCTTCCTTCAAAGTGGAAGTGCATCTCCCTGATAGGCAAGGAACCAACAGTCTGCATACAAATAAGCACCTTGTAAAACAGCTTATGGACTTTGCAATGTGCTCTGCTAGGGGTGTTTTGTTACGCCACATTGCTTTCTGACAAACAGTTAAGTTGTTACGACACAGCAGAGACAAATATTGAGTTACGTGCTTTTATTCGCTGAATCACAACATATCGTAGGCACACATTCTCCCGGCCTCGTGTTCCTTCTGCTTGGCTGATTCTGTCAGCCTGGTCAAACTTCTCCACACTATTTCGATCCATCAGCGTCTTTCAAATCGTCCATCCATCCTTTAACGAAACCTTGTCCTCGGCATTAAGACATGTGGGAAACATTCATATCTCCTCTCGAAACATAACAAGTATTCACAATTTCTTCATTCTCCTCATGCGTCCATTCATGCCTCCTCTCGCAACCAGGTCCGAACTTCAACTGTCTTACTCTCGTCTCTCGGTTCACGTCTTCCGTTCCAGTCCCATGCTTTTCTTGTATCCCTTATTTCGCTCACCATGGGATACACGAGACCCACTTATCTCGTTTTTCTCTTGTATCACTGGTTCTCCGACCTTGTCCTTCCCATCAGGAACTCTCTGGGATTTCCACAGGAATTCACAACATTACAGACTTGTTCAAAGTGCAATGAGGATAATCTTTTGATTAACTAACTAAGATGTACTGAAGACAGATAAACAATGTTTATTGTGATTTCCTATTGTGCTACAATTTCTGGTAACAAAAAAGTGAAGATAAATACCTCATTCAAGTATTTGCCAGCAAAGAATGTGCTGTATCCATTGGCTTGCAAATAAGTTGGAAATGTATTCAACTCTGATGTTTTCTGCCAAGTCACACTACTACAATTGCCAGTAACACTGTTGTTAGTGACGAGATGGTTGTGGAGGTACTGGCCAGTCAGAATGCTTGAACGGCTAGGACAGCACAAAGGACTGGTCACAAACTGAGTGGACAAATAAACATAATGGATTGATTAGAGATGTCACCCTACACATAAGTAGAATCAGCAGAGAAATACAGAATTATTAAAGCATTTCAAATACTCCTTCAGGAGATCAGAAAGCTGTTTTGTGGTTCACAACCAGGCTGTGATATCTTTTGGCTCAAAACAGCCAATTTAGTAAAGATATAGTTAGTCACCTTTTACGAGACGCTTAAAAGGCAATGAATTTATCCACCACCACCCCCTCCCCACCCCAAAAAAAAAACGTTTGCGTGATGACCCTAAAAACCACACAGGGAAATTCAACTTATTAAGTAAACATAAACAAAATTAGCAGTTACCACATTTGGTAACTGGAGTAAAGTACCTCAATGATGATACTTAGAAATGAAAAAACAAGTAATCTGATATCTCTCTGTGATAATCTCAGTCCAGTAAACAAACAGGATGAGGAGATAGAGGAGAAGAAGGAGAAAAAAAAAGAAATGCTGACTGCTAAAAAACACATAAAGCACACACATGACAAAATGTACAGTATTCATTTACCATGTTCATGAATGTCATCCCTTGATCTGCAATAAGCTGTTTAGCCTTCGGCATTGGATACTATAGAATAAGAAGACAGTATGTATCAATATATAGCAAAATAAGACGTAATAAATTAACAGAGCAAACTGTATATAACATTAACTGGCGTAAATTGAAGTTAAATATGAAATATTTCTTCTTTTTTTTCTTCTTCTTTTACATTCATCCGTGTTAAATAAATGTAATGTGCCTGTTTATAGCACAGCTGCGATAATTCAGGCATCAGTTATCCAGGACTGGCCATCCTAGTTAGTTTCAAGGGAAATTTTTAGCCCCATCGGTGAGATGACTTCACCATCCCCTGATCCACAGGTGCTATCCCTAGAAAAGCCACCATGGACTTTATCATTCATTCACATGGGGGGGGGGGGGGGGGGAGTGTTGACGAGTGTCAGAGGATCTCTGGGCACTGCATCTCTGGGGAGGGGGGGGGGGGGGGGGGGGGGCAGCAACTCCTAAGATCCCAGGCCAGCTCAATTTAGGCCATTATCCATAGAGCATGATGAGGATGTGTGATAGGAGTCGTGCATGATGATCCGTAAAACCAGCACAGAGCCTGCTGGCTCCCGAGATGAGGTGCCGAGTGTCTCCTCATAATCACCTGAGTGCACGTCCATATGTGGAGCTTCCCACTTGTCATGGGCTAGTATTCTTTCCAATACTCCATAGCGATAGAGAGGGCCAAAACATTTAAGTTTTCTGGACAAAAAATAATTTTATTAAATAATCTTCCTTGAGGTTTAGGTCTTTTAGGATGTTAGTATTTCTGTTCTTCGTGCTCCATGGTAATCCGGGACTCTTTCTAAAGTATTTCACTGCAAACATTCTTATCTTCTTCCTTAATGACCGCAAGGTAGTCCATCTGTATGTTGTTCCAGGGAAGATGCCCAAAATCAAAGTTTTTGACTTTTATTTCCTTGCTGGTGCTTTACCATACACTTTTAATCATTGCACTGCTATGGCTATCCTTTTGTTGATTTATGTTGAACAGTTTCCTTTCCACTGCTGTTTATAATGGAGCCTAAATAATCCAAAAACTAGCAAAACTGAAAATGGTGACCCTGAAGGATACAATCTATTGAAAGTTACTAATGCTTTATGTATGGATGTTATGGAAAGTAATCTATTGTTTGTGAAAGTTCACATAATCATCATAAGAGATTTCTGCCGTTAAGCGTCGTGTGGAGGAATAGTTTGTGATCCAGTGCACGTTGGCTGCCACTGACTATTGGTGCATAATAATATTCTGCTATCTTTCTAAAAAAGGTCCCAAATTATTGAGGCCGAAAATATACCCTAACAGGGCCTCAGTCACATGTAAATTGTGGACTGCCGCCAACGCCGAGAGCATCCCCCATGCCGCTAGTCGTGTACTGGGGCTAAACTAGATGGCTGGGACTCACAAGCAAATAAAATGAAGGAAGCTGCAGGAGATGCAGTAGCTGCTGCCCACGAGTCCCAGCCATCTAGTTTAGCCCAAATTCATGCCGCGCGTAGAGGCGTGGGAGATACTCTCGGCGGTGGCCGCCGGAAGTGAGCAATTTACATGTGACTGAGACCCTGTTAGTGTATATTTTCAGCCTCGATAATTTGGGATCATTATTTGGAAGATAGCCTAATATTCTTTAATACTAAATACTGGGCTCTCATTGCAGATCTGGACGAGGGTTGGACGCGGGCTGGACGACTTAGTTCAGTTTAGTGGGAGTTCTCTCCCTTGGCCGCACTCAAAACAAGTAGCGGAAAAAGTCACGAATCAAACAAGACAGTGAGGTCGACATCAGGGCTGCCAATGCTTGGGTGTGTCCCCCAGATCTGAGTTGTTTTTTTTTTGACACTGCGGGGATATCTGGGGTTTTTTTTTTTGTTTTTTTTTTTTTGCCGATCTGTATGCTTTAATGACCGATAAATTTGCGTGGTTAAGGGTAGGGGTAGGATTAGGGTTAGGGGTTAGGGTTAGGATTAGGGGTAGCGTTAGGGTTGCCGTAAGGGTTAGGGTTAGGGGTAGGTTTAGCGTTAGATGTGACAATTTTGACGCGGTAGTTCCCTATAATCGCGCACAGTCACATACACACTCAAATAGTCGACGGACGGTGGATGCTACTGACATGGACAATTCGCCACCGATTGGGCACAAGCCGCCCGCTATTGGCGTCATATTTGACAGAATTTCAGTGGCGCCACTCCCACAAGCATCAGATTGTCAGCCACTATTTCACCCTCCTACGTGAAAATTTTCACATCTAACCCTAACCCTACCCCCTAACCCTTCCCCTAACCCATAACCCTACACCTAACCCTAACCCTACCCCAACCCTAACGTTACCCCTAACAAAAACCCCTAACCCAAACCCTACGCAGCCCTACAGGCAACAGTATGATGACAACGCAACCCTTCTGGCAACCGTATAACGACTACGCAACCCTACACGCAACCGTATGATGACTACGCAACCCTAAACGCAACCGTACGCAACCTTACACGCAACCGTATGATGATAGGTAAGTATGTCATTTGTTTCGTGGACTTTTCCGCTACTTGTTTCGAGTGCGGCCAATGGAGAGAACTCCCACTAAACTGAACTAAGTCGTCCAGCCCGCGTCCAACCCTCGTCCGGATCTGCAAGGAGAGCCAAATACTGTTTCAGATGCTGAGATTAGGGTTAGGGTATGGGTAGGGTTAGCCCCAGGTTAGGACTTGGGTTAGCGTTAGGGTTAAACCTAACTCTAACACTCTAACCCTAAACCAAATTCAACCTGAAGCAATATTAAATATTATAGTACTACCAACGAGAGATATGAATGGAGTCGGGTGATTTCTGTAACAATTAACCTCAAGGGCTCGGAATGCTGGAAGAAGAAGAAGAAAAAGACTATTATGTGAACGTAAACAGACATTAGATTGTGTGCCTTATGGTCACCGTAATCAAAGAACAGACTGCGTCCCTTGGGGGTCGCTGTTTTCAGCGTTTGTCCAAAACTACTGTCAAACTCCATATGAATGAATGGAAAATGGGAGAAATCAAATGTCAAATGCAGAGAATTGTATTATAATATTTACTTTACTATTAAAATAAAAATATCGTAGCCACAAACCTGGCCAAAGAGAGCTACATCTTGATCATCTGTGAGGATAAACACAATATTGGACTGTTTTGCTGCAACTGAAGAACCCGATAATAGAATAAAAACAAATATATTTGTCAGAACTGGGACAGTTCTGCTGATCGTTAGCGACTCCATCTTGTACGTGAAGTCACATGACCAGTCAGTCAGGTGAGGTTGCGCGTTGGTGACATGCAAGTGTGAGTATTTGTGAGGGAGAACAATGAAACAGGTGGTTAATAAATAATAATGGATGCAATATCTCCTATGAAGTCAGAGCGCATGTCTCATCGACGAAGAACCAACAGTCTGCATCAAAGACACAGGAACCTGGATGTTCAGGTCTCATGCGCCCCCCCCCCCAACTTTTTAAAGGGGGGGGGGGGGAAGAATTGGGGGGGGGGGGGTGTTGAGGGCCTTATAAATTTGTTTACATAGGAGCTACAACCTGAGGGCTCAGATCCCCCTAACCAACTCCCCAACCCCATTTTCCTCTCTGCCTGCACTCAATGTTCTTACAAAGATCCATAGTATTATAGTTAAAATGTTAAATTTTATATGGCAACATTAGATGGCTCCAAAGAATATTTAATGCGGCATTGCAGAAAAACAAGGGAAGCATGCGAGAAGGCAATCAATGTCGAGGCGTCTGTCTGTTAAGTCATGTTGGGAAAATGTGAGCTAAGATAAAAGAAACGAGGCTGCGTCCAGTGATAGAATCCCAGTTGACGGAAGAACAGATAGGTTTCAGAAGAAATAGAAGCTGCACAGATGCAGTCTTCACACTTAAACAGTTTATAGAAAAAAACATCAAATATGATCAGAACTTAATTGCAGACCAGGAGAAAGCTTTAGACAGGGTCGATACACAAAAGTTATGGAAAGTAATGGCTCGATATGGAGTGAGTGAAGACCTCATTGAAGTCCCCCCCCCCCCCCCACCCCTTCCATATATAGCATATATATATATGTTTGTTGATTACCAGGCATTGATTGCTGATACAGCAATGGGTACAACTCACGAACTTGGGCTCAGAAAGAGAGTGACTTCCCTTGCCATTCATCCCTGGTCGTGTCGTAGGGCATATCCTATTTTTCACACTTAGTGAGCGTCCAGCAATACAACGAATTTTACGTGGTGTTGTCACCGGGGACAGAGTTGTCATGGTGTCCGCCTGGAGTGCTGGGGGTCTCAGGTTCAAGCCTCGGTAAAAGCTTGGTTTTTTCACCTGGAATTCTAGTAATTTCTCGTGGTCTCTGTATAGTAAGATCGGACGTCCGTGTGCATTGTTGGGCACGTAAAATAAACCTCGGAAATTAGGAGTTAAAAATCAACCCAAGATTTTGATTCGTTGTACAAACAAAACCAAACGACTGTTACGCGGTGTTGTCACCGACCAGCGATATCGTGTGGTCTAGATTCAACTATTTGAGTGCTTTTAACGGTCGCAAAACACGTAGAACTTATCCAACCCCCTCCCCCCCCCCCTCCCAACAAAAAAAAAACTACGCCAGAGCATCAGCCTATATCCCCCTGGGGAGTGCAGCCTACGTCCCAAGAATACATGCAGCCTATAACAACAACGCGTAAAATACCTTGTGCATCTTGGCGCTTACTAAGCTTGACACCCCCGCAACATAGGAAAGCCCCTACATGAGTTGTTTTCAGCCTCGAATTAACAACATCATCTCATACCCATGAATGAGGAATGTAAATCAAATAATATGAAAATCAACAAAGAAAAAACATAAGTAATGTCAAAACGAAGAAAGAAGCAGAATTCAAATATAGCATAAGAGTATAAATATTTGGAACAGGCATCTGAGTTTAAATATCTTGGAACAACATTAACTGAAAATGGTAAATTGGTAGAAAGATGCAACGTCCGACGCAGTGAAGCAGGCACATTATTGATACAGCTAGCCCCCTCTTACAGCATAAAGCGATCCCAATCAGCACAAGGAAACATGTCATACAAAGTATAATCATTCCCACCCTATGCTGTCACTTCCAGAAGTGGTCATTCACGACAAAACATAAACGAAAATTAGTAACTCTGTAAATAAGGTGTGTGAGAAAGACTGTAGGAGTGACCAGAAGAGATTGTATCAGGAATGAGGTCATACAAGATAGAGTCGAAGACACACCAATTATACTATATTACAAACAAAGACAGCAATTCATATGGTTTGCCCACTTGGAGAGAATGACTTCTGATGCTGTATAATACAAGACCAAAACTGGTGAAGGACGTAAAAGAACACGATGGAAAGATAACATTAGAGAAACTATTCAGCACTACGATGTGTCTATGGTCGAAGCAGCCAGGAAAGCAGGACTTTATTTCTCATACAACACTTGAAGCGGTAAAAGAGGGCGCGGAGAAGAAGAAGAAGAAGAAGAAGAAGAAGAAGAAGAAGAAGAAGAAGAAGAAGAAGAAGAAGAAGAAGAAGAAGAAGAAGAAGAAGAAGAAGAAGAAGAAGAAGAAGAAGAAGAAGGATGGTGGAGGAGGAGGCTGATGATGATGATAATAGTAATGTTACATTAAAAGTTAAATTAAAATACTTTGAGAGATAATTGATATACATGGCCTACGCGTGTCAGCCCTGACCTATGAGTGTGAGTCATGGGCAATGACAACTGTTCACAGAAGCCAGCTTCAGGCCTCAGAAATTGGATATCTGAGAAAGGTGGTCCAGGTGACAAAAAGGGACAAAGTCCGCAATCAGACAAAGAGGAACAAAGAAAAGTATTTCCTTATACATCCCATATTTTTGCAACTATATTAATTATATTGTTTCTGCCATCATCCTCACCATCATCATTATCGATAACAACAACATCATCGTCATCAGTTTCCATGCCGTTAAGCGGCGTGGGGAGGAACGTTTTAGATCCATTGCCTAATGGGCAGCAATGCTTACAGGCATAGCCTACGCAGAAGCTCTTTCTTCGTCTTCTTTGTTCACCCTCTGTAAGCTCCGGCGGAAAGCCCTGGTTGTTCGTCCCTCTGGACTTCATCTGTGTGCCAGGGCTTGAGTTTTGCGAGCACATACGGTTTACTGACTTATTTGTGTGCAGCTGGTTGTTCCTTGCCGCTCGGAGAGATGCACTCAGACTTCGAAGGAAGTCCACAAGTAGACTCCTACGACATGCTTGTTTGGGCAGGCAGTGGATCTAATCCTGCTTTTACCAAAATGGGGCCCCGGAACCCACACGGAGATAGACGCTCTTTAATGTCATCAATCCATTCTCTCCTTGGGCGGCCTCTTGCTTTCACATCATATATTTTAATGTGTATTATGACCTGAGAATTAGGCACCTGGGTGTAACAGGAGGGTCTGGCCGGCTCACTTCACTCAGGGGAAAGGCAAGACGGACACATAACCAGATTGTGACCGGTACCATCAGTATTTGAACTCTGCGCTGTTTGTGGTTGCTGAAGGTGGGGACGGAGCACGCATGGGAATGCTCTGAGTGCTTTGATATCAATTCTTAAGTCAACTCAACTCATATTTTCATGTGTAGCGCTTGCGCTCGTAGTTCTGGCTGCATTTTTACTAGGTGACTAAACCATTTTATCTTCTATTTTTCAATGAATTAGCTGCATGGTGTTGTAGCACATAAAAATAATAACTATGATTATTATTGCGCGATTAAACAAGGCATTAGCACCTTGAGGTTCCAATAGAAACATCTAAAGGTGACAAGATGTCTAGGTGGTTCCACGCATCTGGACAGAGTCGATAGTCGTTAGCCTTAGACTGATTTACCTTGTGGGCCAATAAGGTCAAAGTTTACACCCCCTCCCCCCTCTCCTTTATGTATGAAATATAACAGATACGTTCACCAGGATGTCTTTGATTGTCTTAAATTACTGCAACCTTACTATTTTAATACAACGACGACTACTACTACTACTAATACTACTACTACTACTACTACTACTACTACTACTACTACTACTACTACTACTACTACTACTACTACTACTACTACTAACTGCTGCTGCTACTAATACTGTTAGTAGTAGTAGTAGTAGAAGCAGCAGTAGTAGTAGTAGTAGTAGTAGTAGTAGTAGTAGTAGTAGTAGTAGTAGTAGTAGTAGTAGTAGTAGTAGTAGTAGTATGTTGCCGCTTTTACTGCTTGATATAAATATATAGCGTAACTGTTTTTAAAAGAAAAAACATCCAGCTTAAGAATGGAGTTGGAGGCGGTCACTGCAGCTTTCCGCTGGCTAGAGAACACCACACACACATTGTAATTGTAACTGATTCAGAAAGCATGCTGAAGAAGATCAGAACAGGCATGCTTCGTGCAGAGTGGCATGCTTCGCTACGGAGGACACGAGTGAGGAGTATTGTCTGGATTTTTTCACCGGATAACGCCGGTGTGTTGGGAAATGAACAGGCGGACAGACTGGCTGGCTCTGCACAACTGGATGGAATACTGCTACATGATAGGGCAGACGTGGTTAGTGCCTTGTGGGAGAGCGTGTACAATGCGGAGGAGCAGATGGATCACCACAGTTTGGTGAGATTGGTGCAGTTGGGGGTGACGAGAGGTTCTGGCAGAAGCTCAAGGTTCAGAGGAAAGGCAAGACGGACATTTAATCAGAAAGCTACTGGCACCATTAGTATCGGAACTCTTCGCTGGCTGCTGAAGATGGAGACGGAGCGCTTATGGGAATGCCCCGGGTGCTGTGATGTCGGTTCTTGAATCAAATCAAAAAAAAAAAAAAAAGGATAATTTCTAAAATATTATTGAATTGTTCTGTTTACCATACTAAGCGAATGTTTTTTAACAGGCCAGGGACCATGTGGAGCTAAGCCAGCCCACATTTCCTCTTCCTTTCTACCAGGATTAGTTAGCCAACGTGAGTGTCGCTGTCGTTTTCTTGTCCAAAACTTGTGTTTATAGCGGATAAAATAGTACTTTTAGTCCGTGTAAATTTAAAATTAATTAGGTAGCACAAATGGTGTGTGTTTTTATAGTTGTTTAGGTTATGTCGCGTGTAACGATTACATAATATTGTTTATTTAATGACTTGTCATGTGTTCGTTAACTTAACCCTTAACGGTTAAGAGCCAAAGCATTGCCTAGTGAAAGAGTTCAGTTCAGAGACGAAAGACAGAACGAACGTATGTTTATTTTATGTAGAAATGTGGCTTATTTATGGAGACATTTCAAGCAGTAATGAAACTACATAGTCTCCATCTGCATTTTTTATCTGTCGGGGCCTGATTATTAGTCTATAACATTATTGTTGCCACGAGAAGCATGTCTGTCACCAACTTGGCAACACTGTAGTAGTGTATAAACACTGTATTATGACGGACGAGGTCCTAGAAGCAGAAATATTTTGGTCATACCAATCACCATGGTGGATTGGAGAACATAATACATAATAATAGAAGTCATGGTATCAAGAAGGAGGGGCAGGCTGACAAACAAAAAGATTAGCACAGGATGATCATATAGTTAGTGACTCAGACTGTCTGCTTGAATATAATATGTGAATACGAAAGCACACAAGGCGGTAGATCTGGATCTGGCAATAGACAAAGTTTCTTTCAGGCAAGCGGTAATGAGGGCGACGTTTTTCAGCCAAGGACATACATGATGATAATGACGCACAAGATTGTTGATAATGATAATGTTGAATCCTTGATGCTAACACTATTGCATGGCCTTGGGGTAAGGGTAAAGCTTGCACTTAGTGAAGTAAGTCTGATCTGTCTTTGAGGTCAAGACAGTCGGCACTGTAATCAACTTACATTTACATTCACTAGAGGTACTTTGGAGTGGCCGCTGCATCTGAGGACTGAGCTGGTGTCAGAGTGCTGTGACATCTATTTGTGACATGTAGCTGTTGTGTGGATAGATTCTGAACTTGTTTTATTCAGAAAATAAATAAAATAAAGATACATCAGTTGGACTTATTAACTGAATCATTACTGATACTCTTTTAGGTACTCTTTCAAATACCGCTTCCAAATTATTATTCGCTGTAAAAAACATCCATGTGAGAGCCTCTGGGGGTTATGTAGTAAAGGCCATCATCATGTTTTCTGCTGTTATTGCTCTCAGGATAGCAATGTTTAGATGTTAAGCTGAGCGCTGTAGGGAGGTATAGTTTTCGATCTATTGATCACATTACTTAACTCCCCTTGTGGGTTCCAGGGCCACATAATATTTGAGGGGTCAAAAGAATGGGTCCACTGCACCTATGCATGTTGTGAAATGTGACTTATGAGCACAGTGCTTAAATCGGATGTGTTGGGACGAAAGGCCCAGATGTCACAGTCTAGCTGTAAACTACAATATAACTTGCTAACCGCTCTTTAAGGGCTAAAAATAATCAACACGCTGCGGGAAGTGAACACTGGTCACCAGCGTGACAGGCAAAATGCAACTTTACTACCAAAGATTCGGGAGCTCGGTTCCCATAAAATTATATAACGTGAAGCATAATTTGTCGTGTTCCTATTCCATATTTTTAACTTATAACCTGTTGAGGTCCTGAATAGGACTTTTTAAACTATATTAATTTAGGACCGGTATATTCTGAAGATTCAAAAATCTACTTGATATCAGTTATGAAGATAATAATATGTATGTGTGGGTTCGTACATGGAATATTCGGCAGAAATAAAGAGATGTTTTTTGTTTTGTTATTTTTTTTAATGCAAGTAAGGAAATTTGCTTTATCTTTTTTTTCAAAGATAAATAAATGACGTTGCTTACTTTGTTTACAGATGCCAGAAAAAGGTCCATTGCAAGCTGTTCAAGTATTTGGGCGCAAGGTATTTAATTTGATAGTACTTATTTCAATCTATTCAAGATATTGTAATTGAATTAAATGGATGTTATTAAGTTATTGCAGTATGGAGTACCTGAGAATATTTCAACATCTATGGAGTTTGCATGCTTTGTGCAAGTCTCTTGCAGGGGACTAGCTGCCCTCTGAGAGCCCACACCGTTTGGGATATTATTTCCTTTATCATTAGCGCAAGTGACATAATTGCATTGTGCCTGTTTACATACAGCATAGCTGTGAAATTTTGCACTTTTCCGCTGACACATCCAGCTTCATCATCTAACATTTGTTCACCAGGTTATGTTAGCTTTCCCTGAGATGAGAAAATCGCTTTTTAATATCTGTACTTAGTAAATTATTTAAATCTAACTGCATACCAGTAAACAAAAAAGTATTTATCAGTATGTTTCTCTGTGACAATTAAGCTATGCTGATGATAGCTACGTGGAAGCGGAGAGATCATATAATGCTAAAGAAGGAAAAACACAAAAAGTCATACTGATACTTTATCTCAAATTATGATCCTTTCAGTTTAGTGCTCTTTTATCCCCAGTGGTAAGCCAATATCATACAGTGACTCTGTATGAGCAGTGTTAGATTAACAAATATGCTTAAACACTTGGTATTGCAGTTTCATCCTTGCCACACTAGTCTTCTTCAACCAGAATGCCTAGAATTGTGAATCTAGCTGCTAGATCATTCCGTCATTACTTTTTCAACTAGCTCTAAGAACATACATACCACCTTAATCTCAAATCATCCGTTTACTGTTAACAAGTTTAAAGGGCTCATTCTATGCCACTTGCGCATCATGTATTTGGTGGTATTGTGGTGGACAAAACTGCATTCTGTCTTTTTTGTGTGACTTCTTTTTTTGGGGAGGAAAAAAAGCGACTGATTAAGAAAGGGTGCTTCTTTGAAGTCAGAGTTCATATGTCTGAGAGCCTAGGGACCAACATTTGCATGTAAATAAGCCATATTTGTTAAACAGCTGGTAAACATAGGGAAGCTGAAGAAATTCTACTTTGATACTAAGTTGAACCTGTGACTGGTTCAACAAGTGAACATTTAGCCACTTTGGTTCCTATAATTGGCAGTGCTGCCTAACATATCTCCTTTTATTGCCATGTTCTGTCTGGTTTGTGTAATTTTGACATTGTTGGGTAATTATACATGTAAACTATTTTCCTTAGAAAACCGCCACTGCAGTAGCCCACTGCAAACGTGGAAAAGGACTTATCAAGGTCAATGGTCGTCCACTAGACCAGATGGAGCCCGAAATTCTCCGTGTTAAGGTATGGCGGTACTGTTTGTATGTCTGTGTTATTAGCTGTGTCTCGGTCACTGAGGGACAACCATTTTCTAGTCAGTGTTAGCATAAAGTTTAGTATCACCAATATAGAGCTTTGGTGGAGAAGGGGCCGAGAGGTAAATAAACAACACTGGTTTTTAAAAAAAAAACTGAGAAAATCAGAGAACAGTATAACTAGAATGACTTTGCACTGGAACCCACAGAAGCATGAAATTAAAGGAAGACCTAAAATCACATTGAGAAGGGAGCTAGAGAGTCAAAGTTGAAAAGACAGATAGGACATCAATAGAGCTGCATGCAATAGTGAAGGATAGAACTGTGCATGAGTTGCCTGAGTGCATATACCCCATTAGGGATAGAAGGCAACAAGAAGAAGAATCTGTACAAGGTGTAGGACTATGTTTTGTGATCATAGTCATTAGGCATTCACCTGTCTGCTGTCATCTGATGCATAGCTTCAAGGTCCCTCTACTGGTATAGGACTGCAAATTTGATAATCTACACATGTACAGTTATTAATAAGCTTATAGTTAAGGCAAATAGTTAATTCATCAGTCAACAGATTGTCCTTATTGCACATTAAACCATGAGTCCATAAGTGCTCACATCCACTCCTTAGTAAATCTTGCAGCGTGTAGCGGCTAACGTCACCACTTCTGTGTTGGTTTCTTATGCTTTTGTCTGGCTAAACCCCTTTTAACATGTCGTTCTTGCAGTTCAGTCATCACCTGTTCCTCACAAACGTCTTATTTCTCATAGGGCATTCAGAATATCTGCCTGTTCCATGGCTCGTCCGCCCTCCACAGTAGCTTTACCTGCAAGCCAATCGGCTTGCTTATTTCCTTGCATGCCTAATGTCCTGGCGTAAATCTAAAACTGATATTTGTCAGTTTTGACCGACTTTGAGCGTGGGGAATGGATTGTCTTCAGGCATGTTATCGCTTTGGTCACCGGCATGACCTCTATAATCAGACTACTTTTAGTCAAAGCAACAGCACCAAAATGTTGCTTCACAATTTTAACCCCAGCTAAGAGCTTCTCACAGGGTAAATTACAGATCCATCTGGGTAAATTGCAGCATCCCCCTGTAGGTAAGGCTTAAAATATGGGAGGTGGACAAGTAGGCTGATGTACTGAATGCTCTGTTTGACATTTACAAGAATCACATGAATGATTCTGCAGCCCTGACCAGACTGAAAGAATTGCAATAGAAAAGGAATTAGATAAAAAGTGATATCATGTTTTAATCTGAGAATTTTGTTGCCATCATTGACATTGTTTTAAACTCACTTTGGCCATTGACTGGCTGAGGAAGGAAGTTGCACGAGGTAGAAAGGGGCATCAGGTGGTCACTCCCCTCTGTTTTAGAGGATTTGGACTATGCAGATGACATCAGCCTGATATGAAGCTGTCATGTGAACGATCAGGAAAAGACTTTCAACAACAGTCCTTAAGATAGGACTGAAAATAAACACCAGTAAAACTAAAGTAATCAGAAATATTTTAAAAACAGAAAATTCAGTTATCATTATTGATTAAGCAATAGAGGAAGTTGAAGAACTTGAATGCCTGGGAAGTAGAGTTACTCCAGATGGAGATTATGAAAAGGATGTAACATCAAGAATAAACAGAGTAAATCAAGCAACAATATTCTAGGAATACTAGTATACAATGGTGAATGTTGGAAAATGACAGCAGGAATGCCTTTAAACACTCTGGCAAAAACAGCTCTCCGGTGTACAGCAGATGGGAAAAAGAGACATGGATGACCTAAGGAAACCTGGAGAAGGACAAAAAAATGGGAAATGAAGGAATGTAATCTGACATAGGATACCATTTGAAGCAAGGGAGATCACTCATGAATGCCTTATGTGTCAACAGCAACATAAAGATTATATGTTTGAGTAAAGGGGCACCATTACGATATGTTTTTGTAAGTGTTTCAATCATGCCACATTAACAAATTGCTCCTCTCTAGTGACACCAGGTAACATTTATACCAATACTAGCTGTACCCGGCCACGCGTTGCTGTGGCGTAATTTGAGATAGTCTTTCATCACCCCCCCCACCCCCCCACAACTAAATCCACCTAGTACCCTCTCCCTCATCAAAGGTTTTTAGAAAAAAAAGACAATGGAAATCGCACCTGTCTAATGAAGTTAATGACGCAGTCAATGTCTGCGCCGACGTCGAGATAGTCCTTGATTGCACCCCCCCCCCCCCCCCCCATCGAAGGTTGTTTGAAAAAAAAACAGAAAATAGAAATCGTGTTTAATATAGTTATTGTGGCAAATATAGAGATAGTCTTGTTTGCTGTACCACGACCTACTCTATGTATTAGTATTAGAGAAGGCGTTGGCTGCACGTAACTCGCCGGCGAATGGTAAATACAGATCATGCGCAATTACTAACGTGGCTATAATTAGAAATCACTAAAGTTATAAATATTAGTTGCGTATATTTTGGCATAAATTGTGGTCACCTATCTCTAACAGTGACAGTTTGAATTTTAAACCACGACGGTTCAAAATCCGGTATCGCAACAAACATATCCTGAAAATTTCAGCTAAATCGGTTCAGTAGTTTCCGAGTCTATAGAGACCAAACACACACACAAACATTGATTTTTATATATATATATAGATTTCAAACTTTATACTCTAATTATAAATTTTTTTCCAGCTTCAAGAGCCAGTATTGTTGCTGGGTAAAGAGAGATTTGCTGGAGTTGATATCCGTGTGCGTGTCAAAGGAGGCGGTCACGTAGCACAGATCTATGGTGAGCTTTTTGCTAGACTCAGTGATTTATATTTACTTTATCTTTGAAATATGTAAGTCAAGGTTAGAACATTTTGCCACGCATAATCTAACCTAAGACATTAGGCGAGCATACAGCTACAGCAGGGTCTATCCCTATTCAAGGACCTTTTCGCACCCGGGTAATGTCTCACCATATTCTATAAGGCTTTCTTTAAAGCTTCAGGGGAAGCCGCATTAGCGCAGTCGATAGGTGGTTGCTTTAAAATCTAGCTGTGACGCGCTGCAGCCACGGTCGGTGTTCGAAACCGGGCGGTTCCCGAGGTTCACCCAGCCTCTAGGAAATGGGTACCAGAGTTGACACTGGGGTGAATGAAGGAACGTCGCTGTAGCTACGGAGTTAATGTGCGAATGGCGACACAAGCGGACAGTTTCTTATCAGCTGTCCGTACTTATGGTTTATCACCGTGCACAATGACACTGGTTCACATCTCCCGACTTGACCTTTTTACCTTTTCCTGGAAAGCTTAGCATTGTCACTAAATGCTAGGTAGTTGACTATATCGGTTAAACTGCAAATATCTAAAGTCTGGTATAAACGGTAGTCTGAGATGCACTAAGCAGTCTTCTCTTCTTCACTTCCTCTTTTACCGCTGTGGGTGTCGAGGGAGATATAAGGTTCTGTTTCTAGCTCTTCTGGCTGCCTCGACCATAGGCACATCGTGCTGTTGTAGAGTTTCTCTGATGTTATCCTTCCATCTAAGCAGTTGTTAAGAAAAGCTTGATTACCCTGAATTACTGATTGATTGATTGTTAGAATAATATAATTTTATTGTTTATTTCAGCAATCAGACAAGCTATTTCCAAGGCTATCGTGTCCTATTATCAAAAATGTAAGTGAATTATAAATTCTTAGGTTCTGTTTTCATATAAACCTATTTGAATTATTTCACATACATTTTGTATAATGTTGAAGAAATAATAGACATACTGCCTCCGCACAAGCATGTCATAGGTGTTGACAAATTTGGGAGCTTCCTTTGAAGTTTGAGTACATCTGCCTGGGAGGCAAGGATCTGACAGTCTGCATACATATAAGCAAGATGTGAACCGTGGTTATGCATGCAACACTGAGGTTCTGGGACAAGACTAAAGCCCAGAGATGGAGTATGTACCCCAGGACTGCACCGAATTCAACACATTAAGGCAAACTTTTTGGTCAGAAAGAACAACAGTGGAACGTAAACTCTATGGACCACTGAGTAAACTAACAACTACAGTGAAATTTATACAAGAGACAGAATTGCTGATATAGACAACGTATTTCAGGCGAACGAAAGAAGAATGGATTTTGAATCAACAGCTAAGATATTTAGAGCTATGGTACAGTTAGTTAGTTAGTTGGGTTATCCTCATTGCACTCCGGACATGTCCATAGGTGCTCAGATCCTCCCCTCAGTATGAACCCCAACGTCCGATGGCTAATAGTACCAGTTCTATGTTGATTAACAAGTCTTCTGGCGTAGCTGGTGTGCGTCTCGTTTTTTGCTGTGCCGATCTTAATTCCCAAGTCTGCCATTCTGGCGAGTGATGTGGATTCACTGCCACCAAAGTCCTCTATTCTTCCCATTTCTCTGAGGGCATTGATAATATCAGCATGATCCATAGGCTGACCGTCGGTAGTGATAGCGGATCCAGCCAACCTGTCAGCTCCATTGACGCCTGCGTGTCCCGGAACAAAAATAAGGGTGACTCCACGAACAGTGGACTTCTGTAATGATTCAAGCCATTATCTTCGCACTGAACCTGCTATGGTACATAGTATCTGGAATGGAACATGGTTTGTAGTGTTGATGACCATGTTGTTGGCTGTCTAGACAAGGTGTGTTTTGATGATTGTTGTTTTATGTCTTGCAGATGTGGACGAAGCCTCCAAGAAAGAGATCAGAGATGTCCTGATTCAGTATGACAGATCTCTGCTGGTTGCAGATCCTCGTCGTTGCGAGCCCAAGAAGTTTGGTGGCCCTGGAGCTCGTGCCAGATACCAGAAATCTTATCGTTAATTTTAAAGCGCTGATAATGCACAATAAATAAAATTTATAAATGTACTGGGTTTTTTAATTTTATGTATATTTAGAGGACATAGTTTTCAATAGCTACATATTTGAAAAATAATTTCGGATAAGGCCTGATAGTTTCAGAACGTATTCTTGTCTTCTTTACATATTCGACAAAAATATAGATAGTGCTTAAAAAATATATCAACAGCCACATTACATATTGCCCAAAAAATTTCCAGCCTGGTATATGACGCTGCTGCCCGGAGATGGGGAAAAAATTAGTCCAGTGATTTGGAATAATAAATGCTGATTCAAATAAAAGGTATCAAATCCCCTAAACTAATGAACAAACCCATAGTAATACCTGAGTGGGGTATTTATTTTTGATTAAGTATAGAAACGCTGCCAGCTGGACAATTCTCAAATGGAAAAACCTCACTGAGAAGCAGAAGATGGTTTCTGGTTACCGGATGAAGCCAATATTGCACTGAAATGTAGGCATCTGAAGGTATATAAAGAATAAGAATGGATTATCTGTCCCTACTTGTGATAGTTGCCACCGGAAATACAATTTGTTGTTGATAAAAGTGATTTGTCACGAGTTTATCGACCACAAGAGGTTCGCGCTGGGCATGAATAATATGGGTATAGGTTGCCGTGAACCAAGTTATTTTTCTGGGAACAGAATCAAACAAATCATGAAGGGTAGGTAATTAATTGAAAAGATCAGGCATGTTTCCACAATAATGGTTAGGTGCACTGCCTCGACTGACAGAAAGAATCTTTATAAGTAACGCACTGAGTTGAAACAATAGACATGACATTGGTTGCAGAAACATTTTGGAAGTAATATAATGCAACCTGGACTTGTTATTCACATTGTCGTTTTGCAGTTTTTGTAACCATTGTTTTTTTTTTAATAGAAAAAATGTATTGCTACTTAGTAGGTGTCTGAAAAGGTGCCGGTACTCACCATAAATCGTGTCTGGAGATCAAGCATCTGCAGCACTAAAACTAAACTCAGGTTATACACATCCTCAGAATCAAGTAAGAGACGACCAAGATATCCGCTGGATTAAGAATCAGCTGTACGCACCTGTCATAATTGTGACTCACAGAGCATGTTGAAAAAGGTGAGACGGGCATGCAGAGTGGCAAGCATCGCTTCAGAGGTCTTGGATAGTTGGCATCCTTTGGATATTTTTTCTAGGCTATGCTGGTGTGTTGGAAACGAGCAAAAGGAAAGACTGGCTAGTTCTGCATCACTTGATGGGTAATTGCTGCATGACAAGTTAAATGTTGTGAGGGACCTGTTTAAGAGTGAGTAATCTGGAGGAACAAATAGATCATTACGGTCTGGGAAGAATAGTGCTGTGAGGAGTAACCATGCGATCTGGCCGACACTCAAGGAAAAAGCGAGACGAATGTAGTCACTCATCTTAAGTGAGCCTTGGTATTTGCCATGTTCATGTTAGTATTCACGATCTAGGATACTATTCATTGTCTGGCAAGCAATGAAAATGGGAAGAAGTATGGTTTAAGCTGATATCGTCAACGGACTAGGTTGGCGGATTACGCAGAATCTCTGACGCTAACACGCCTGCGTGACAAGAGCACGTCTGTGCCGTCTTCGGTGGTAAAGTATAACAACCTCCTCATGGAAACAATCATTGGAGGTACCTTAGAGTGGCTGCTGCATCAGAGGGCTGAGGCGTCGATTGTGATAACGTATCTATTGCCGGCGCAATCTTTACTCACACAGCATTGCATGTTAAATCTGACTGTTGCAGACGTTACAGTTGCCCTAAATATAACTTCTTTGATTAGGGTATCTGGTTTGTTAGTATGCCACACAGACTAGGACTTTTTTTTAAAATAAATCTGAGGATAGTATGGTAAACTAAAAAGTAGCAGAATGGGACAAACTTCTTGATTAATCCAATGGTTTTCCTATCCTCTCTGACTGTTATCAATCCTGCAGCGCATGAGCTTTGGCCCAATGTAGTGTATGTTTCATATGTTCCTGTTTTTTTCCCTCAATACAATGTGTTCCACTTGTCTGGTCATGGAGGGAGTAGCATTCTTCTAGCCTCGCTGAGTTTTCGGCACAAATTTAACAGTTTTGTAGGGGTGTTTAGCCAGCACTCTAGGGAGTGTTGTGGCTGTGTTTTGAGTCTGAAGGTGGTGGCCTGGTCCCTCCTTGTTAGATGGTTAATGATGTCGTTAGGATCAGGGCCAGTCACATGTTTATAAACATCTTTTCCAGTAGCTTTTATGGCTTATCTGTTTAACCAGTCTCATAAGTATTTTTGCTGTCTGTAGGGTTGTCACTGTGGGTGGTTGTTCTTGTGTTGCTCCATTGTTTGCCAGCCTGTCATTGCCTGAGTGACCTGGAATCCAGTGCAACACAATTCTGATGTTGTATGAGGTAATGAGCATCCAGAATTATCTTGGCTGTCAGTTCTGTAACATTCACTACCCTCCTGAGTATGTTTCCTGACATCGAGTCGGTGCAAATGACAATATTTTGGGCCTTCAAAGGATAAACATCCATTACAGTCTTTAGGTGATATACTGCTTTTTCAGTGTCATTACAAAGTCTGACAATTAAGTAATCTTTTAAAATAATCAACAGTTGAAGAAATAACCTGTATCTAATTAAAAGTAAGCCCCCTGTGCATTGATACAGCAAGTGGCACGATCTAATAAACACTGGAACGACCTCTGTAGTTCTTCTGTTGTTATGGTCCCTAAAGTCGATGTTCCGGCCATTTGGATGTCATCGATATCGTCAAAGAAGCGTCCTTTCAATTGGGAATAGAAATAATCACAGGGAGACAAATCTGGGGAGTAGGGTGGAAGGCTGAGAAATTACTTGTTTTTGGTTTTGATGATGACATGGGTACTCAACCCGCTGATATTTTTGGTCATCAGAAAACGAATGTGGTACAAACCGGCAAGCTACTTTGTTTCTTGCAAAAATCTTGCACTAAAATGTTGTGAAAAGTCTATTATCACCAGATTCTGCCATCATCCTCACAGTAAAACAAAGATTTTCTTGTATCCATTCTCTGACTTTTGCAATGAGTGTATCATTACGAACAGAAATTTCCACACCACTTTTCAATCGTGAATACCAACGAGATAAACAATTAACCCCATAAACTTTTTGCATCAATTGAACTGTTTCAATGGCGCTTTTTTCTGAGTTTTAAAAATTATTTAACGTTAGCTTTTTGGTCCTTGCTGATTACGCAACAATGCACATCTGGCTGTCAACAAAATGTTTGTTGTCTGTTTATCGAGCGGCGATGAAAAGTTGTCAGATCACAGATGAATGTTGCCTCATTAGATTACATGCTTTCCTTCATAGATGGCGTTTTTGTTTTGGCCATAATAAAATCAGTCTCATTACTTAATTGTCGGAACTTGTATTTCTGTTTCATAATTTGAGCAGAATTCCTCGAATGCGTAAAAAATCACTTAAACTGATCCACCGGGATAACCTATGTAGATTCCGTAACCTGCTTTAATGGCATCTTTGAATGCAGATCCACCAGTATAAACAATTATCCGTTCTTCGGAGTAACAATCAATGGTCTTTAGCAATGAGTTCATAAGGGTGATTGGGTCGGACTCGTTTCTTCGTCTACCAATTTCATCCGGACTTCTGCAGCTTTTAAGCAAGCATGTGGTAGTAGAGAATCCCTCGAAACCCAGAAACGACAGGAGATCGAGCTAGCAGACATGGGGATATTCAAGTGCGACCTCCTTGCAGTCCTGGCCGATCTCAAGAAACAAAAAGAAGAAAGCGCCGAGACCAGTCAGTCCGAAGCGGCAAATACGAAGAAAGCACTCGCAGCACTAGAAGCGAAGCTATCCAAAGTCAGCAAAGCAAATGAACAAGTGGAAAAAGACCTAGCGGCCACAAATATAGTGATTGAAGCTCGAGAGGAGGCGAGGAAGAAATCAAATTCAAGCGGCCAAAAACCAGGAAAGTGAACCGAAGAATCAAGGAGAACAAGATGAAAAGAAGGCTGAAGTTGCAGAGGACATAGAGGTCAGCGAGGCCAGCATCACTGCAATGCTTCAAAGATACAACAAAGTGATGCACCCACACTGGATCGCGTTTGTCCAGGGCGAATACAAAATACAGAACTGCCGGGAAACAATGGCAAAGGAGGACCGATTGCCAGTCGGACCACAGACGTCAGAGCTTCCTGGTAATGCGCGACGAACTCAATGCAGCCCATGCACAACTCTGTTAGTCGAAAGCAGGACAAGATCCACCAGAAACGCCTAAATAGACGAGATTGCCACCAGCTCGAACCCACGCAAACCTAGCAGACGAACCGACCGATGTATCACAAAGCCACCAGCCAACCAGTACTGACCAAACCGCCATGACACATACCAAACCCAGCTCACCGGACCGGAAAGCCCACTCGCAAAAACCAGCCAGGCATGACTGCCCCACAGCCAGATCTACTCCCACCCACCCCCACACAGGCCGTGCCCGGCAAACCTTACTTAGTCCTTCTCAGGACCAGTAAACCGTCCTTTCCCAACCCAAGCCAGTGTTGCAAAACAGCAAGGAAAAACCTACAAGACGTGAGACATCGTCGCACCGAAATAAGAAAATAAAAAACCGCAAAGACACCAGGACGCAAATAAAACCAAGCCCCAGAGGCAGGTTGAAGCCGTCCGAGTTTTTTTCATTTTTCAATGGTAGGTTTCTTGTAACATTCTGAATGCCCTGGCGTCTTTTAGGGGAGGTGTTATCTGTCCTGTATTTCATGTACAGAGTGTAAAATCTATGTATGCTTTATTATTTGTTTGTATTCACAGTATTTATTTTTTAAATTTTTTTAAAATTTGATTTAAGAACCGACATCATAGCAATCGGGGAATTCCCATCAGCGAAGAGTTCCAAAACTAATGGTGCCAGTAGCATTCTGATTAAACGTTCGTCTTGCCTTTCCTCTGAGCCTCGAGCATCTGCC